AAAGTCTGGATTAAAAAGGCCGGGGGGGGTTAGTTGGGAGGGGTTTGAAAAAAAAAAGGGGTTTTTTTTTTCGGGGTGTTTTTTTGGGAATCATTTTTTTCCCCGGCCCCCCCCCCCCCCCCCCCCCCCCCCCGAACAGGTGCTGTATTATGTATGAGTGAGAGTTCTTGGACGCCCCATGGAGTAATCTGTAATTGATATCGCTATTTCTATTATCATAAGATCCTTTTACAGAGTAGCAAGGCGGGAAAGGACATGCATAGGATTCTCAATTTCCAAGCGTTGAGTCAGCTGATATTTATATAACTAAGTAGAATATGAGGGAAGAATGGAACTCGGATTAGGAGATAGGTATGGAATATCAAAGTTTTATTTCCCAAAAAAAAGGAAGGGAAAATACGTCAGGTTGATTCATCGAAGATAACATTCGTAACGGTTTCTGCTACGTTTCTTTCTTCATCATAAAATTAAGTCTAGAAATATGTATAACTATATGTATATATTTCTAGAACCGCCAAAAATTTTAACAACCCCTACGCCTCTCTCCACCACCTCCCCAGTGCCCCAACACCACTATCCCCAACACCATCAAGCACTTCTTCAAAGCTAATCTCGATCCTAAACATCCTCCCATCGCCCATCCCACTCCCTCCACCAACAGGAACCACAAGCCCCCAGCCCACCAAGCGCTCCCACGCCTCTCTAGCCACATCCTTGCCCCATACACGCCCGGGGGTGGCTGCTGCGCCGGACGCGGACGCGGATATCTTGGCCGAGGTCAGCAGTCGGACATACTCCGCATAAACAGCAGGAAATGACAGCGTGAAGGTGGTTGCGGCTTGGGCTTGAGTCGCATTGAGACCAGGTTCGTGCAGGGCTGTTAAACGGGTGGCAACTAGAAGGAGGGAGAGGGGGAGGGAAGTATTGCTTGTCGAAGAGGTGGAGGGGGGAAAGGGGAGAGAAGGTGGGTCCGGGCAGGAAAGGGGGTGGGAAGAGAATGATTTGGGGGTCGGGGTTACGAGATTCCGTGGCTTGTTGGAGGTTTGTTGGAGGCTATGGTAGAGAGTAGAGACTGGAAGGAGGGCGCTGGCAAAAAAATCCTTGGGGGACTTCGTTTGGTGGTAGATTGTTTGGAGATGAGTTTGAAAGGCGGAATCAGCCCAGAGATGCTATTTTCGGGTATCATTCATGTCAGTGATCAGTGACCATGGAAATAGGAGTGTGCGTTAAAATATACCTGGATATATTCATTCCATCCCTCAAGTAGCAGTTGACCTTGGCCAGATTTCAAATCATCCAGACCAGTATCGGGAAGCTCCTCTTCATTTAAGGTAATGCCTGCCTTGCATATATCCGAGAATTCATTAAAAGTCCTCGGCCGGGGAAGAAATACATATCGATGGCTAAATCTACTTTTCACTCTCTTTTCCAAATTTTCGGTGACGTCGACTTTGGTTGTCAATCCCAAGACCGCCACGGGAGCTTTTCTCGCCTGAGCAATATCAAAAAGATTATACAACAAAGTCTGGCGCGGATGGTAGGCAAACAAGTCGAACTCGTCCAAAACAATGATGACAGATTTTGCCGTCGCGATGGCATCGGGATCCCCAGAGACTCCGAAAAGCTCTTCCGGATGCGAGAGGAGAGCTAGCAATGAAGTCATAGTATCAGCATAGCTGATTGTTTTGCTTGTCTCATCTTCCGTGTTCATTTCGCGCCCCAGCTGTCGCCAAATCTCCCTCAATGCAACCCGGTCATCGGTATGAATAAATCCGTTCAAACGCACGACATGGAAGTCATCTCTGTGGTCTTTTGCCAAAGATGAAATGACGGCTTCCACAACAGCGGTTTTTCCGCAGCCCCGCGAACCAAGGAGAAGTAGCGAGTTGCCTTCTCCCGTGACAACGGTCTGCTCGACGAGTTGATGAACCGTTTGATATTGGGATTCAAGGCACTGGAGTGGGATGGGCTGTTTGCCCGTAAGCTTTTTGAGAATAAATGTTGTGAGAGACCCGGCGTGGCTCTCAAGTTGGTTTTCTTCACACAATGTCTTGAACTCGTAAGCATATGGCGGTAATTCCTCAGGCTCGAGCGTGTGAGTGTCATTGTCCACAAGCCCCTGTTGTAATTGTAGGGCAGACATATCCTGGTCATCCTCGTCCATATCTTCCACCCCATTTTGTTGGACAGATGAATTTAACCCCAACCCATTTGTAACTCCATTTCGCAATTCCTCTGCTACTACCTCCCCATCATCACTGGGGACTTCCCACACATCCCCATCATTCGCTTCTCGATTGTTTACCGAGGGCGTACCGTTTCTTTTCCCCGTTGATTTCCCCACATGCACCTCGGCATTGGGACTCATCCCCGTTCGAACATCAGTCCCATTAGCCATTCTCCCATGCCGCTTCAGTTTCGAAGAGCTCACCGCACTTTCATCTCCTCTTTGTCCCCGCCCATTTGCTTGTTTCTCACCCTTCCCCGTCCGTAGAGGCCGCTTCGACGTCTTCACAGGTTCAATCACTTCATACTGTTCTGCAGGTCTTCTCAGTCGAGCCCTAGGCCTCAAGCTCCGCCCAGACGATTTCAACGAAGCTTCCGGAACGCTTGCATTATTCTCTTTCAACTCTTTGCCTCCATCCTCCTCCCCGTCCTCCACATCTACATGTCCATTTAACGTCCCGTTCAAATTCCCACTCACGCCCCCAACCTCTGACTTCCCGCATTTCTTCCCCCTCGTAGTTCTGGTCACATCATCTGCGGTATGTCCACCCATTGGAACCTCCTTTTTTCGGTCTCCCGCACCATTGCCAACGGTTCCTGCGACTTTTCTCCGCTTCAGCGGGGGTGCGGGATCCCCGAAGTCACCCATTGCGCAAGCAGTTGGTCGATCACCCAATTCACCTCGAATCCGATGACTTTATCGAGGAGGAGTGGATATAGGTTAACACGACTTGAATGTGCATCGCATCGTGAACGGCAATGGCAATGGCAAAAGCCAACGGTTCGTTGAGATATGTCAATATGGCTTTCGGTTTGGGAGAATTACAGCCTTTTGGTCTCCGGTGTAAACAAGGGGAAAGAGCGAGTGAGGTTGGCAATGGCAAGTAGAACTGTGTCCGGTGTATATTGAAACGGTCAAGTCATGTAGTCACTGTTATCCGGAACCTTTCTAAGCCTGTCAGCTTAGCTGGTCATTGTTAGGAGCTGCGGAGCTTAAAGGTTTCTGGGTTGAAGTTCGCGGCTCAAGGATCGCGAAATCATGTGACTTTGATACCCTCAACTGCCAGTAAATTTCTCCATGAAATTTCATTGAACTATTGAAAAATTACGGAGATCGTTCTGGATCATAATCTACTAAACCAATATAGTATAATTTATATAATTTATGTAATTTTGTCACAGTCTGAATCCATGGTTCCCTTTCTGCTCTCGCTCGAAATTTCCCCTGAAAAGTACTACTAGTATATATAAAACTTTCAACTTCGTACGTCAAGATAAGGTTATAAAGTTTTAGGGGGATGTGGTTGCACCAGGCATGACTGCCACTTGATCCTGTCGAATAGGATACTCCTGGTTCGAACTCTCTCTTGGAGTCCTGAATTTCACTTTTTTGGTCCTTCGGAAACAGCATTTCAAGAGAAGGGCATGGCAAACCATACTAAGAAGGCTTAGGTTTGCAGAAGCGATGAACCGCGGAGCTGGTATACAAGATCTATTAGGCTTCATTTGTACCCAAGTATCGTTCGTGGTTGTATTTTCGACAGCATCTGAGCTTTCCACAGTATTATTGGGGCTAAGCGGATCTTGTTAGTGGTGACAACCTTCTGAGGCTCTATCGGTCGGGGACTTACATTGGCAACCCGACTTGACCATCAGGCGAAGTGCTTGAAGCTGTGGAATAGAATGTATTCGTAACTCGTGGAAAATTGCCTCCTTGATTTTCTCCTAGTTGTGGAAGAAAGGAGGGGCGCGAGACATATTTATTGATCATGTTCATTTCATCGGGAACAGAGGATGCACAGCTGAGGCCATTGTTGTCACTGTTCCCAGATGTTCCGATATATATCTATTGAAAGGGAAGATTTAGCAAACTGAACACATGTGAAGAGATCCCGGCGATGGATTTACGTACGGGAAGCCGCGCAGAAAGTTCCGACGCATAACCGCAGGGAAGTTGCCTCACAGTACCGTGCTCATCGATCATACCGAGATGGGGTTTTCGCGCGAGCGTTTTTGTCTATGATATTAGAAGGAGGCTTACGCAGCACAGCTCAGGAAAACGACGGAAAACGTACCTCGTCGAGGATCATAGTCATCCCTTTTCGACAATCAATTTTGGCTTGATTTAGGGAAATGGGGTCACTGTCAATGGGATTCGGGATCTTGTCTGTGACTTCTTTTGCCTGGTATAGATCAGGGTTTTTTATGACTGGAAAAAGTTAGACCTTATTTCTTAGGAAGTTTTGATTGAATCTTACTTTTTGAGATTAATTTCCATAGAGATTTATAAGCGATGAACGCACTGAGAAGGTCGGCGGTATATAGCTCTGGGAAGCTTTATGTCAATTATCAGTAGTTAGGAAAGTCAAAAGTGACATTTACCACACAAACGATAATCTAAAACAACAAACGGTCGTGTAGCTTTTGCATTAAACTCATGGAATGACCGAACGGAGTTGTAGCTCATGAGGATGGCCTGAGTCCTCTGTGGATACTTCGAAACTTGGGCGGGAAAGTCATTGGCAGCTTGGATGATAGTTGGCAGGTTCCAACTCGCCTGGAATAATTTTAAGTCAGCTATGGGTTCGCGAAAGGAAAAAAGGAGTTTGTCTTCCACCTTTGGCTTTTTGATGCTCCCACCCCCTGACCAGGTTACGGAAACGCTGAGCTCAGTGTCAGTCCAAATATCTTGGTTCTCACTATCAGCCATGGCTCCACTCAAGGGCTGGAAGTATTTCGTAGCCGAAAGTTGCATCTCTGCCGCCATTTTCACCCTAGAGATCTTATTCTTGTCCTGGACTTTGATACTAACTATGGCTGAAAATGCACCACCCTCAAGGAAGCCGGCGATAAAACAATCACCATATACCTCTGAGAATTGATCGGGTTCCAAGCCATCCAGCGGCCGAAACTCCAATTGCGTTGGGTTGATGGGGAGCTCGTTGGTCACTTTGACGGAGACGATGAAATTGATATCACTTTCGCTGATACTGTTTTCTTTTACAAAACTAGCGGAACCATTGCTGTGACTACTGGCGTAACTGATAGTAGCACTTGAGGAGATATTAAGGGTGTCGACAACATCTGCAAGATTGTCGATCGCATGGGCGGTATAAGTGACAGTCTGGTTTACATTTGAAGCCTTAGCTTTTTCTGTCCTTGTGCGAGGAGATCGCTGCAAAGAGTTATCAACTGGTTGTGGAGCCTCTTCCACTGAAAGGATGTTGTCGTCTCTCTCAGCGGCATCAGCATTGTCTGGTGGGAATTCGCCTGGTAGACAATGATGTGGGCTCTCTGAACTACCGTTTTGTTCATGAACTATTATCGCATCGTCGATGCAAATTTGTTGCGTATAGGAGTTGAACCTAGCACTAGAAATTAGCATTCAGAAACCCCTGAAATCAAATGTGAGGACCGAAGTTAACCCTTGACCAATTCGCATCAGAGACGTGTAAGGGGCGAGTAACGTCATCCCCAAAGACCTTGGAGGTTATAAAAGGAGCAATTGCGCCGGGTTTTTGTACTTGTATGGACTATATGTTGGAGGATGGATGATAGGAGCTCAACTGTTAGGCTTTTTAGATGGATTCACTTGAGTAGAAGCTCAAGGGATGAGAAGGGAGTCAGTTACCTTTCATACGATGGATACTCGGGGCGATTTTGATGTCAAAACAGTCAGGAAGCTGCCATCAATCTTAACAACAAGAACAACAACCGATCGTGCCTTCATAGTTAGTTCTTCTAAGATGAGGTTTTGCGGCAGGTGGCTCCGGCTGGGCTAGGAGCAGCATTGAACATAATGGAGTTCTCCTTGGGCAATAATGCTGGTTTCGCTGATATGTATACTTCTTCCTCGCCGTAGTTAGTATCTGACGCGTGACAACTTACTTGAACTGATATTGAACAATTACAGGAACAAGCAGCATTGGTCGCATCCACACCCTGCTCCATATCAAGTCCCATTATCCCATTATTCACCTTTGACACAAAGAGCCAACAACATCACAGCGGGCAGCACCGCACATCAGCCTGGTTTCAAGCTTTCGTAATTTGCCAAATGCTTCATGATGGGCAACTGAGTCTCCAGCGTGCCGCCTGTGCGACGTTCCCCAGAACACAGATTCAAGCCTCCTCGGGCCCGGGCAATCAATCCATCGGTTCGTTCCTCAATTAGCGCCGACGGGTAGTGCTTCTCTAATTCCAAATCGTTGTGCCTCCCAATAAGAAGCGAGGATTTTTCATCCAGAAATGGGAACTAGCCAGTCGCTTGACGCTCGAGCGATGCAGGGCTCCGATCAGCAACCATCTCTGATGGCGGCTACATCCTATATCTGCACACGATTTGCATTGCGCAAAAAGTTGTTTCTCTCTCCACCTCTCCGCGCCGAGATTCTCAAGCCACCATGCTCGGAGGATCCAAGGAAAATGGCCTGATGTACAGAGTATTGGCGTTCGTCTTTTCTTTTTCCTTTCCTTTTCTTTTCTTTTTTTGCCGTTCTTCTCCTTTCGTTCGCCGGCAATCTCCCCCGAGCCCGAGCTCGTGCAGTTTGCCGTGTTCCCCCCCGCCTCCTTTCTCCTTCTTGTGCAAGAGCAGCAGGACAGGCTCTTCGCTTTTGCTTTTTTTTTTTGGTCAATGCATTTGTTTTGTGCTGTGTACTGTACATACATATGCCACTCAGACAAATGCCTTCGATTTCATCTCGTGTCGCTCATTTTCTGGTTTTTGATTTCCCTCTCAGTCAAGTGTCAGTTTGACTGACCGTGTTCCTTATTAGGATCTATCTCTGGATATTTCCCCCTAAGCTTTTCCTGCTTTCAATATTTTCCCCAGTGTTTGCGTAGCGGATGGAGTCTGAAGAGCTCCACAAGCGCATGAAGGCGCTCCATCAGGGAGAGAAGCAAAACGATACCTACAAGGTACATATATATAAATCTCTCTCTCTTTTTTTTTTTTTTTTTTTTTTTTTGTAAAAAAAGGACAAACCAGGCCTCTTATCTCAGTCACACCTTTATATTTCTGTTTCTACCCCACAGCCCCATACAAATGTACATGTACTATCAAACCTCAATATATATACATATCTGCAACAACATAAAGACAACAAAATAAAATCATCAAAAACTAACCCCATTACCCCCCTCCGTACCCCTCCCCCAAACCACACAGGGCTACAACCACGACCTCTTCCGCAACCGCGTCCGCTACGAGTCCGTATCCCACGGCCCGTGCCCGCGCGCCTCCTTCCTCTTAACCGTCACAGAACCCTTCTGCAACAAGGTCGGCGCGCTCCACGGCGGCTGTGCCACCACCTTAATAGATGTGACCTCGACCGGGCTGCTGATCGCGCTCTCCAAACCGGGCCATTTCTCCCTGGGAGGCGTCACGCGAACGCTAAATGTGAAGTTCGTGCGGCCCGCGCCGATGGGGGTGGAGGTGAGGATTGTGAATGAGCTGGTGCATGCGGGGAAGCGGCTGGCGTTGGTTAGGTCGGAGATTAGCAGGGTGGATACTGGGGAGGTTTGTGTTATTGGGGAACATGATAAGGTTAATACGGATCCGGAGGCGGGGAGCTTATGAGTGGATTGTTCGGCTTTTGTTTTTAGGACCGTTGGGGAGTGAGAGACGGGAATAGGATGTCTAACGGCGAGGGCATGTTAAGCGGGGAGCTTTATAATCTTAAGTCAATCGTTTTGGTATGCATGAGGGTGTGGCCCTTGCTTCAAGTAATTGTGGACCTCATGCATGGTTAGCAAAATTTTTCCAGTCAATAATGAATAACGAAAAGGGAAAAAACTGATAAAGTAAGGTGGCTGCCTCTATACCCATCTCATACCTGGCGCAAAACACGAATACTATTTGCCCGCGCTTGGTATTGATGCAGAACAACAAATGCATATAAAATTAATGTAGACGGCAAAATAAAATATCATATCACTCTTTAACATGCCCATATTTCTCACTCCATTCATCAAGCTACTTAAAATAAGCAGTTGAAAAAAAAAATGGCAGCAAGGCCATCATTATCAAAAGTGCTCCTTCACGTTAGAAAGGAGTAGCAGTAGGAGAATGAATAAACAAACCATACAACCCGGCGCTGGATACGGGGTTAAAAATGGTAGGGGAAAATGGAAGAAAAGGTCAAACAAGCTCGAGAAGATGGAAAAAGAACGTGGTAGTTGGAATTAAAAAAAATGGAAATGTTGGCAAGATGTCATGAAAATAGATAATAGATTCCCTATCATTCTATATCTATCCCATTTTGTTGTTATGCTACTTATAATCGTGACATGCCAATCAATGGTAGCTGTGCTTGACATTTGAGGACGAATGTCGCTGAAACTATTGCCATGTGCAAGCCCATTTCGTTAAGAAATGTTTCGAAGAACTTGCCCATCAAACATTTTGAGGGAAAGTAACCCCTTGAACGAAACCTCTTCTTTCGAGATGGTTGTCCAAATCTGCGTATCGGAGAATGAATTCGCGCTGTGATTTGAGGCAATACCGAATAATTTTGATTTATGTCAGCCATATTGTCTTCCGTAGGAATGCAGGGGTCTCATGTTTAACCGGAGCAAGTATTATGTTGAAATGCAGTATAGCAACTAAGCGAAAATTAAAAAAAAAAAAAAAAAAAAAAAAAAAACTCACCCTGACTTTCTTCCAGGACGAAGGATCCCACCAGAGGTAGAAGCCACGCTCACTGAGCCCTCGCTCAACCTCAACAGGACTTGGGTATGCGTCATCTCTAGTCAACCATGCGCGCTCCACTTTGTGGTATCTCCATTTCCGGCCCATGAGTTCTTCTGCAACAAGCTCCTGCATGATATCCCTGGGCATGCTATAGAATATATAGAAAAGCGTTTCGTCGCTAAAGCTAGGGATACGGGTTTGCAGTGGTTGGACATTGGCAACATTATAGCAAGCTGGTAAGGTGTAATCCACTTGGAGTGGCACCGCTGAATTTGACGAAATAAACGGAGAAGCAAAAGATGGATGAAGCGGTCTGATAGGAAGGTAGAATTGTTAAGACACTTCAAATCTCTTTTGGTGTAAAAAATTAGAGGGCTTTAACTTACTCTGGATGATTTAGATCCAGGCCAAGAGTCATCAAATCTTGTCCGACAGCTAGAGCAGCAACGTCAGGATTTTCGTTGTGTATCAAAGTCAGAAGCCCTTGAAGCCCGAACCTATCGCGATCAGGCATCTGGCTGAGTGGGCTTTGCTCAGAGGATTGTCCTTGTAGTGATTGTTCCTGACCGTCGGCCCCAAAGCTACTGGATTTTGGTTGACGACTTTGGGGTGGCGGTTGTATGACCGCTTGGCTTTGTTGGTCTGAGTATGCCTCTGGCCGAATAGATCGCTGTGTAGACGAAGATCCGAGATCCTTATGACAAACGGTTAATATGGAGCGCCAACTCGCAAAATGAAAGGGGTGCTTACCTCTTTCTCCTGGGAAAGTCCGCCATTCTGTACCTGGCCCATAGGAGATCTAGATGCCGAGATGACTGCAGAGGAGGTGAATACTCAGAAACAAAAAAATAACTCAACATAAGGTAGGAACTGACCACCTGACCCGCCTGCGCCTGGAGATATGATCCTGCTATCTTGCTGTCCATTAACCATATTTCCGGGTAAGGTACGAGCCTGGCCAGAATGGCTCTGGTTGAGGTTAGGAAAGGCCATCCCGCCTCCGTAGTTACCAAAGGCTCCGGACTGAAGAAGGCTTGCTCGTCTTTCCTGGCCAATGTCCGCTGGCGCATTTCTCCCTAATGGTGGGAACTCGTCAATATTTCCTGTTTGAGGTTGAGTGCTTGAAAGCTGACCACTTATGCCTTGGCCTCCATTCCTGAAGTCATCTAGCTGTGCTGCGAATTGTGCTGCGGAGGGAAAAAGGTCTTCGTGAGAAGCATGTGATTGTGACTGCGGTTGGGTTTGCGAAACTCGAGATGGCGGCTGGGTCGTAGGTGTTTGCGACTGTCTTTGGATGGCACTTTGCTGATTTACTCGCTGGCTAGCGTTGGCCCAAGTAGCTTGCCCAGAAGCTGAAGATTGAGATTGTTGCGGAACACTAGAGAGGGAGGGGAATTCGCTGATAGAAGATATATCTGGGGTTAGCTTCAGCTGGCGGTGGTGTAAACGTGCGATTCTCCCGCCCCGATGGGGAGCTCCTCTGCGCTTCATCCTCGTGGGGTAGACAGATGACTGAGGAAAGTTGATGACTTTGCGAAATTATACACAGCCGTAGCAATGTGGGATGGAGATGTAATAAATGACGACATGTTGGTATGGCAACTTACGAGAGGTCTAATGGTGTTGCTGGTTGAGATCCACTTATGCCTTGTGCAAAGCTGTTCATGGTATTCACAGTCCTTTGCTGGCTACTTTGTAACCCGGGTGCACCCCCCATTGGCAACCCGAATCCCCAGTTGGCACCCGTCCCTACATCAGATCCCCAGTCAGTATATAGATGTAAAGCTGGACTTCGGATACCAAATAATAACCGCACCGAGTTTACCATTTGGGAGGCGCGTAGAAGCTAATGACGGATTTGTGGTTCGTGTTTGGGGCTGTTGCTGGGTGGGGAAGCCTGACATCCCCCGCAACTGCTGTTGGCCAGGACCTGCATTGCAACCCAAAATATCAGTATCTCTTTCCTATCCTCTCATCTAGACAAATTGTTGCAATGGTAAAACGACGAGTAGAACTGCGGAGAGAAGCGCTCCTTCTGGGGCATGGAGTTTAAGGTGTGGCTGCTTGAATGAGCTACCATCCTTCCAAGTAGGAGACAACAAGTTCCCATAGAAACATACACCGCAGAGGAATAAGGGCATTTTCTCAAGTGGAAGGCCATGGAGCAGGAGTTATCCCGGTACCAGGGTCTGAGCGGGAGGGATGAGACGACAGAACAAACCTGGCCTATTCATAGTGGAAAGAAGCTTCGGAAGCGTTTAAGAGGGTGTTCTCAGGTAAAACGAATATTGCGCGATAGCGCCAGTGGTATCAATGAGCAAGATGGCGATGGCGTGCGGAGGACAAACGTAATGGACCATGGCCATCCAGCAGCATATGCATCAGGATTAACGCTGGGAGCAAGTGGAAACTCAAGCGCCAAGCGCGCGGCTATACGTTACATGGGCCCGCTCGACGTGACGCATTTTGTAAAGACCTACACAACCTTGCGGCAGCTCTTTGAGATTATGTTGGTGTGAAGAATACTGGACAGCCTATTACAACTGTATATGTGATGTCAATATTGGTATGTCTGAAACAAAGCTGGAGACTGCGGAATTTCTGGTGTGCTATTGGGAACAGCCAATTTTTGAATTAAAATGTATTACTGGGCAGTATACTATAGTTGCTCCGGTGCCCCGTCCAGTTCAGGTGGGAAGTATTATTAAGTCTGAAAGATGGAATAAATATCGATTCTTTCAAAGCTGTCCGTTTATTTACGGTCACGGTGTCATTCGTTTTGTGCACAAGGAGGTACCAATAAGTATCGTAAGTTATATAGTTTTCTGGGAAAGGCTTTCGCGGCTGTGGTACAAATGATTTTCCAAGCTCCTCAAAACTACAGCTGCAAACACAGACTGTCCACAAAGGTCCCCTGATTACGGAGTACCACTAGCAGTGTTGCCGCAGGATGCCCATCACAGCCCGGAGAGGTCGTTCTCGCTAAATCACGTGACAGCCTAGTTCTGTTCTCCTTTGCGAGAAAATTTTCGCCCTTCGAAAAACATCAATTCCCTCCCATTAGCTCTGAAAGATGCCTTCTCGAACTATCACCCGTCTTGTGAGACTATATGGAGGTACTCCGCTGGTCGAATTACCTCCCATTTTCCTTGCTCCTGCTCTCCAATTCCCTTCATTACACTTTGCTTCTTTCCAATGCTTGAAATTCTCCACCACTCCTGCTCCTGGGTTGAAACGGGACCTCAGCAAACACCGTGGTGTATCTGCTATTCACAGAACCGGTCCGAGGTACCCCCTTTCAGTGTCGAAGTACACTTTGCCACGTCCAGTTAAACCGAAAGAGCAGGAAAAAAGGCCTAGCAATCCGAAGCATGGCCTCTGGGGATTTTTTGGCCCTGATCGGAAACCTATCCCAACCCCAGAAGAGGAATACGCTCATGGTATGTACACACAGCTATTTGAGATGAACGATTGAGTCAATGGAAAGACAAGGCGACGTTGCTAATACTATCGTCCAGGGCGCGCTTGGTCGATTCAAGAGCTTAGGCAAAAGTCATGGGATGACCTTCACAAGCTCTACTGGCTCTGCGTGAAAGAACGCAACCGAATAGCTACAGCCCGCTATGAAAGACAGCGGCTACAAGCTGGCTATGGGGACTATGAGTCTAACAATCGCGACAAAACAGTAAGTGCTTTATTTCCTGTTAACAGCATTTGTTTGACCATTCCTTCGCTATGTTATGGCCTCATTTTTGTGATGAAACATTCTTTCACTCGCCGATATGACTTCTATTGGGACCGCTTAAGCCCGATAGAAATGATATGTGTTTGAAACCGTTTTCCTGATAATTGCACTTTATGTCAACTGTGATGATATTTTGCAAACGCCTAAAATCTTCGCCTGCCCTATTCTTTCCCTGTTTTAAAGTACGTACAAATTGATTAACTCCTTCATTATTGGGAATAACAGGTTCGTGGTACGCAACAATCGATCAAACAAGTTCTTCGCGAGCGATGGTATGCCTGGGAGGACGCGCGACAACTTTATGAAAGCGGTGAATATTCTCCTGCTGACGCACAAGTGATGGAAGCGGAGGCTTATGCTTATGAGCCACCAGCCTTAGATGTGGAGGAACCGAAAGGTGAAGCATCGGATTCGGTGAAGAGTCCTCCATCTTCCTAAGTTGGCTTCTTGTGCCATCCATTTTACCACGTACTGTATTGTGGTCGCATTCTTGTAGCTTAATAGAATGGAGACTAATTTTTGCCTTCCGAGTTTGGGTTGAACAACCTGTTCTAATAAATTTGTGTTTCATAATACTCTTGACGGTTTTCGTTTTTTAACGTGGCTTTACTGTTCTTTTATATCCAATAATGCCACAGTGATTGCGCTCTCAACATGGGCACGCACCGACGCCACTCTGACAACTTCGGACGATTTTACCTACTTGCGGTTGCCTGTAGGTAATTTCTACTTATCAAATTCGTAAATAGGGCAGGATAGCTTAACCTAATCCACGTACTATTGATATTGATTGCACTATTGCTTGATGTCAATGAGTAGTTCTGCCGACCAACTCAGAGGGGGCGTCGGCATGAATCCAATGATAGCGTGTTTGCGGGGAACAGACCAGCGGTGGTGGAGTAAAACCATGGTCCTCAACCAGAAACCCAGAGCTTGTTCAATGTTTCTCCTCACAACAGTACCACCCTCACTCAACTGAACTACCGCATATTCAACCTCCTTATTACCCTCTTCTGTGAGAATTGCCCTTGCCTTCCTGAAGTATCTTTGATTTTCACTATGGAAGACATCTTGCCTGAATATGATGTGGTGGTAATGGGTACAGGTATGGCATTTACCCCACCGCTACATTTGGGCTGCAACTGACCGACTTTCCAGGTTTGACGGAGTGTGTTCTTTCGGGGTAAATACATGACCACCTCGCCCCAAATACGATATTTATGAGAAGCTCTTAACTAATCCCTCGTGCAGCGTACTCAGTGTCAAGGGGCAGAAGGTTCTTCATATTGACCGCAACGACCACTATGGAGGGTGAGTTGGCGTAGCCCCGCATCCCTGTGGAACACTGATACATCCCAGTTTACTAACGATTTCAATAGAGAGGCTGCCTCTGTTAATATAGAAACAGTTTGTTTTCCCTAGGGAGATCCCGTTGTGTCCCGAGACCCCATCGCTAACTATTTTTGATACAACTAGCTCTTCAAAAAATTCCGCGATGTGAAACCGGGTGAAGAACCATGGAAAAAATATGGCCGTGTCAACGACTGGAACGTCGATTTGGTGCCCAAGCTTCTCATGTCGAACGGGGAACTGACAAATATCCTGGTCTCGACTGATGTTACCAGATACCTGGAATTCAGGCAGATTGCGGGAAGCTACGTGCAGCAGGGAAGCGGCCCCAAAGCCACCGTTGCCAAAGTCCCGTCTGATGCGGGCGAGGCGCTTCGATCTTCACTGATGGGCCTGTTCGAAAAGCGACGGGCGAAGAAGTTCCTCGAGTGGGTTGGAGAGTTCGATGAAAGTAACCCAAGTACCCACCAAGGTTCGATAGACATTCTGCCGAATCTCTTTTGTCCCGAATCGATCCGTACTAATATGAGTATCAGGGTTAAATATGGCAACATGCACTATGAAAGAAGTCTATGACAAATTTGGCCTGGAGCCGCCCACAAAGGACTTTATTGGACACTCAATGGCGCTTTACCAGTCTGACGACTACATTACAGAACCGGGCAAGGCGAAGGAGACAATTGACAGAATCCGTCTTTATGTCAACTCTATGGCCCGTTATGGCAAATCTCCCTACATCTACCCACTCTTTGGTCTCGGTGAGCTTCCCCAGGGCTTTGCTAGGCTGTCTGCAATCTATGGGGGCACATACATGCTCAATACCAACGTCGACGAGGTTCTCTACGATGGCGATACGGTGTCAGGCATCAAGGCCACTATGAAAGAAAGGGGAGAACCGGGAGATGGCATAACCTTCACAACAAAAACCAAGAAGATCATTGGTGACCCCACCTACTTCCCTGGAAAAGTCAAGGTCACTGGCTACCTGCTCAAGGCCATTTGTATCTTGACCCACCCAATTGATAAAACGGATTCGAACGACTCCCTGCAATTGATTATTCCTCAATCTCAGGTTGGCCGAAAGCATGGTAAGCTTTAGTCCCATAAAACATATTCACGTCCATTGTTTGAAGAGTAGCGCAACTATGTTCCAGTTCCAGCTGCTAAGAATGAATATGATAAACCAGATGTATATATCGCGATGGTCTCTTCCGCACACAACGTCTGCCCGAAGGGTTACTACATCGCTATCGTCTCCACCATTGCCGAAAACGAAGCGAACCACCATATCGAGCTGGAGCCAGGTTTTGAGCGCCTCGGGGCTATCGAAGAGAAATTCATGGGCCCGCCGATCCCATTGTATGAGCCATTGGAGGACGGCAGCAAGGACCACATCTATATTTCGAAGAGTTACGATGCCACCAGCCATTTCGAAACAACAACTGGTAAGCAAATTTTCTATTTGCACATATATGTATCAGATTTTGCAGAAAGCCCTTCCTGAGCTAATTGGGAAAATATTACAGATGACGTGAAGGATATTTACAAACGAGCCGAGGGACACGAATTGGTCGTTGAGGGTTTGAGGGAGGGTACGAACCTTGTCGGAGAGGAGTGAAGGGGAGTGAAGGAGAGTTATTGGCAGTAAATAGTCTTTTTCTCAAGCTGATGACAGATGCAAGTAGGTAGAATATATTGGTTTGAAAAAAAGGATCAATTTGGGGGGTGAGGGGTTCATTGAGGATACTACGTTTCTCATTTTGTTAGTTGTTTGGTTACTTTCTCTTTCTCTCTCTCTCTCTCTCTCTTTTCTACCCCTTCTTTTCTCTCTCTCTCGTTTATCTAATTTACAGTTCATTTCCTTAGCGTAAATGATAAACCCATTGCTGTGTTTTTTTCAACAATGTTCTTTGCAGCGTTTGAAGGATAATCGTTTGAAATGTAATATGCTCTCTCAGGCTCTCAACCGACGCTCTGCGGTGGGTTGATTGCTTCTAAACGAAGTGTCCTTGACACATGATGATTTGGCAATACAGGCATATCGGCTCTGAACAATCAGGCACTAAGTAAGGAGATTGTGGGCATCTAAAAATCAGGCCTCGTTACTTATCTCGTTGATAATCGGGGAGGCATTGCTTGAAGGAACATCTGTAACTTAAACCCCCCGCAAACAATGACTAAGCAAGGCCATCCACCGCTATTCCTAAAGGAGCAAAATGACAACATGCCAAGCCTGAATTTTCCTCCGCAACCGAGCCCGATTCGGAAGGATAACAAAACATCCCGCAACAAATCCGGAAGACACCATCTCAGCGCAAAAGGGCGAAGAACACCATCAAAAACAAGCAGCAGCCTGCTCATTCGAATCACCGCGCCTTTTTGGCCGAACTTTGCATCCCCTATCTCCGCGATTTTACACGCATATCAAGCTCCATACAACTCATCTGCGCTTGGAACAAATCGAAAGAATCACGAAGTCCAGTTTTGAGAAAACCTAATTCGGGCCAATAATTGTGCGCCGCGGGCAGAACCGCGAGGAGAAATACAAAACAGCAGCCATGCGGATCGTGGAGGTTATCATTGACGTGAGTACATGCGATAAGTGGGAGAGTGATATTTTAAGGACCTACATCACTTCGTTTTGGCATGATATGCTGATGTTGCCTTACGTGTAGGGGTTTAAATCTTATGCTGTGCGCACTGTGATATCAGGATGGTGGGTTCTGAGGTTGTATGCTGCGCTTAGAGAGGGGAGGGTACTGAATTCGGTTTATCAATTAGGGACGAATCCTTCAACTCGATCACCGGCCTCAACGGCTCTGGCAAATCCAACATCCTCGACAGTATCTGCTTTGTTCTCGGAATCACAAATATGAGCACTGTACGCGCCCAGAATTTGCAAGACCTGATCTACAAGCGCGGCCAAGCAGGAGTCACGAAAGCCAGCGTGACCATAGTATTTGATAATCGCGACAAGTCGAAATCACCAATTGGATTCGAGGAATATGCGAGCATATCGGTGACGAGGCAGATTGTATTGGGCGGCACCAGCAAATACCTGATTAATGGACACCGCGCGCAACAGCAGACTGTGCAGAACCTTTTCCAAAGTGTGCAGCTGAATATCAATAATCCGAATTTCTTGATTATGCAAGGGCGAATTACGAAGGTGTTAAATATGAAGCCGGTGGAGATTTTGTCGATGATTGAAGAGGCAGCTGGAACACGTATGTTTGAGGATAGAAAGGAAAAGGCTGGAAAGACGATGGCAAAGAAGGAGACAAAGGTGCGGGAAATCGAGGGACTGCTGAAAGAGGAAATTGAGCCGAAACTTGAGAAATTAAGAGGGGAGAAGAGAGCTTTCTTGGATTTCCAGCAAACTCAAAGTGACCTCGAGCGTCTGACTAGGCTTGTTGTTGCCCATGACTATTTGAAGAATGGGGAGCGGTTACGCCTGGCTGGAGAGGAATTTGACAACAAAAAGCGAAAAGTTACCGAGCTAGAGAATAGCATTGCGCGGCTCAAGGGTGAAATATCTCATCTGGAGGAAGATGTGAAGAGGGTAAAAGCGCTTCGAGAGAAGGAGCTTAGAAAAGGGGGCAAATTCCAAGCGTTGGAAGACCAAGTTAAAACTCACTCCCATGAAATGGTGCGACTGGCCACTCTGTTAGACTTGAAGACCTCGAGCATGGCGGATGAATCAGAAAAGAGAGAAACGATGGAAAAGACAGTGACTGAATTGCAAGCTCTACTGAAAGGGAAACGGAAAATTTATGATGAATTACAAGCCAAGTATGATGATGCAAAAGCTGGGCTGGACAGACAGACGGCTGAAGTTGAACAGAAAGAAGAGCTTCTTCAAACACTGCAAACAGGCGTTGCGTCCAAGGAAGGCCAGGAAAACGGCTACCAGGGCCAGCTTCAAGACGCGCGAAACCGACTTAGTTCCACGGCCACAGAGCAAGAACAGGCGAAACTCAAGATATCCCATCTCGAAAAAAGGATCAAAGAGGAAGAGCCCAGAGCGAGGAAGGCCAAAGAGCAGAATTCCAATCTCCTAAGGGACCTTGAGGAACTTCGAAAACAGGCCAAGAAGCTCGAGTCAGAACTCGCCAAACAAGGATTTGAGCCGGGTAGAGAAGAAGAGATGTACCAGGAAGAATCCAGATTGCAAAAGAGTATCAGAGAGCTGCGAAGCCAGGCAGATTCTATGAAGCGAAAGGTTGCAAATATCGATTTTAACTATTCTGATCCTTATCCGAATTTTGATAGGTCGAAAGTTAAAGGGTTGGTCGCCCAGCTTTTCACTCTGGATAAGGATAAGACCCAGGCCGGAACTGCGCTCGAAATCTGTGCCGGTGGACGTCTTTACAATGTTGTTGTCGACACGGCGGAAACTGGTACTTCCCTGTTGCAAAATGGTAAACTTCGAAAACGTGTCACGATCATCCCCTTGAACAAGATTTCATCTTTTAGGGCCTCGGCTGAGAAGATTGCAGCTGCGAAGAATCTGGCACCGGGGAAAGTAGATCTTGCTTTGTCTTTGATAGGATTCGACGATGAGGTCGCTTCTGCGATGCAATATGTCTTTGGAACAACGCTGGTTTGCCAGGATGCTGACACCGCAAAGCGAGTTACATTCGACCCTTCCGTGCGTATGAAGAGCGTAACTCTCGAAGGAGACGTGTATGATCCTTCGGGAACCTTGTCGGGAGGAAGCTCGCCAAACTCAAGCGGCGTCCTCATAATCTTGCAACAACTGAATGAACTTATGGGGCAGCTGGCACAAAATGAGCGAGCTCTCCGAGATCTACAGGAAGCCATGGCGAAGGAGAAGAAGAAGATGGACCTTGCTAGAGCTACTAAGCAAGAGTTCGATCTTAAAGTGCATGAGATTAAGTTAGCCGAAGAGCAAATAAATGGGAATTCGTCTTCTTCTGTAAGTGTTACCTTGAAGGAGAACGTACGTTAAGTTGCTAACAAATGGCAGATTATCCATGCTGTTGAAGAGATGAAAGCAAATATCGAGCAGCTTAAGAAGGACATTGAAGATGCCAAGAAACGACACACCGAAGCCAGCAGAGACATTAAGCGTATTGAAAAGGATATGAGAGAATTTAGCAGCAATAAAGATAGCAAGCTGGCGGAATTGCAATCGTCGCTGGATTCGCTCAAAAAAGGGCTCAGCAAGAATTCGATCTCTGTTAAGACGTTGCAGAAAGAGCTCCAGGCCTCACGGCTTGATTCTGAGCAGGCTGGAAGTGACTTAACTGCGGCGGAAGAACAGCGTGCCGAGGTCGACCAAACTTTGAATGCTCAAAAGGAGGAAGTTGAGGCTTTGAAACGGGAACAAGCAAAATGCAAGGTTAGTTCTGAGATCCTTAACATTTGTAATACATTACTATGAGCGAAACTTGCTCACTAACACCGCGCACAGAAAGCACATGATCTTGCTCAAGCCCAGCTCGAGGACGAACAGGCCAAACTAACTGGATTTGACGATGAGCTTCGAGCTTTGGAAGAGGCATCTCGATCCAAAGCAGCACGAATTACAGAAGAGGGCCTTGAATTGCAAAAGCTAGGCCACCAAATTGAGAAGTTCCAAAAGGATCAGCAAAATGCCGCACAGCTGGTAGCCAGCATGGAGAAGGAACATGAGTGGATCTTGGATGAAAAAGATAGCTTTGGACGGCCAGGCACGCCGTACGATTTCAAGGGCAAAAATATTGCCGAATGCAAAGCCTCCCTACGTAACCTGACGGAGCGATTCCAAGGGATGAAAAAGAAGATCAATCCCAAGGTCATGAATATGATTGACAGCGTTGAGAAGAAAGAAGTGGCGTTGAAAAATATGATGAAGACTGTCATTCGGGACAAGAAGAAGATCGAGGAAACTATCATCAGCCTTGACGAGTATAAGAAGGAAGCATTGCAGAAAACTTGGTCCAAGGTTAACGGTGACTTTGGCCAGATATTTGCAGAGCTGCTTCCGGGCAGCTTCGCTAAACTTGATCCCCCTGAGGGTAAGGAGATTAGTGATGGCCTGGAGGTAAAGGTTAGTCTGGGTAAAGTGTGGAAACAAAGTTTGACAGAATTGAGCGGTGGGCAAAGGTATGTGTTTTTCTCACTTGATTTCACATTTATTTTTCTACACGAGACGAGCCAACTAACCAGAAGAATCATTATGTTCTCGTAGATCTCTTATCGCTCTCTCGCTTATAATGGCTCTTCTCCAATTCAAGCCTGCACCCATGTACATCCTCGACGAAGTCGACGCTGCATTGGACTTGTCGCACACGCAGAATATCGGTCGGTTGATCAAGACACGATTTAAGGGGTCGCAGTTTATCGTGGTCAGCTTGAAGGATGGCATGTTCCAGAATGCAAATCGTATTTTTAGGACTAGGTTTAGTGAGGGTACCAGCGTTGTTCAAGCGCTGACACCGGCTGATTTGAAGTGAGACGGCCTCCAATGTGCTGTGGCATTGGGCATGTTGTGATGCCTCTTTCTTTCTTTTTTTAACCCCATGTTTTCCCTTGACATATACTCGGTATTTATTCTGATATGGTTTGAAGTGATGATTTTCTTTTGTCTGTGGTTTATGCTCTTTTTGGATTTGTTATTACCGGCGTATCCATCGATTCCGGCGTTTTGGGAACAGAGGCGAGAGCCATTTTGTGGATGAGGATTATTAGTGTCTGTTACTTTTTATTTTTAAGCAATTTAGGGAAACAGCGAGATGATTGTGAATGATATAAATCGCATTTTGTCTTTCTAGTTAGATTACGGACGTTGGCTCCGGCTGTTTTCCATTCTTCCTTGTTTTACCCGAGTGGAGTGTTATATGGATAGAAGCAACATAGCGGCAACTCTACTTCTTTTTTTGTACAAAATGCATAGAGCGCCGAAAAGAATTCTCATGTAATTTACGCTGATCTCATAACTCTCTGCGACCTAACCTTTGCATACACAAGCATTTATTCCAGGGGTTTCCTCCCCACAACCACACAGAAGAACCAAATCAGAGTATAACCATTGGCAAATGCCTCGTTAAAACGGTTAGATAGCTCAACTCTTTTTGATTCGATCACGGCACTGTCAATAGGCTCGTTCTCTGAGATCAAGTGCGTCTCCAAAAATTTCGGCAGCCCCGATAGAAGTGCTGGCACGCATGCACTCTCCACATCTATTACACTTAGAGGCGGCACCGCATCATCCGCCGATTTTCTTGTCAAGACTACATCTTGCATCCCTAATTCTTTCATGGTCGATTCGACAAGGGCAGGAAGGCTGTGTGTTTTATACTCAAGTAAGCATTTTGTTGATCTTATTCTGTCGATCGGGTAAAGGAGGGCTGATGGGGGCTTCAAAGTTTATGCATACTTTTCGGTGACACCATGAAACTTCATGTGCTTACGACCGAGCTTCATGACCGCTTCAAGGCCATCATTGGGGGGAACGGATTCGGTGTCCTTCCATAGCAGATCTCCCCATTGAAGGAAACCACCAGGCCCTGAACAGAATTAGCACACACAAGAGACTCATGAAGAGCTCATGTGGGGGTGAACACAGCATACGGAGAATTTCCATCAAGTTTGATATCAACTTTGGTACTTCAGCAGCTTTGAATGCCTGTACAACCATACGGATGTTTATCAAGTCAAATTGACCGTGAAACTCAACCGGAAAGCGTTCTAGTGCATTGTGTTCCAGGAAGCTAATCTTTCCTATGTCACTTGGGATTTCTGAGGGGAACGATGTCACCGATATGTCAAACCCATGATATGTATTCGTTGGGTTATTTAATTCCTTTGCGGTATCAATCAACCAGGCCCTGTGACGGCGGGTACATTGTCAGCCTTTCAGTGCTGGACCAAATCATGGCCTCTAATCGACAAACCAAGGTAGTAATTTACCCTGTTCCGGTTGCGATATCGGCAACTCGTTTAAGATTTTCTTTGGGGATGGTGGGTTGAATTAATCCCCCAGCAAATCGAACAATTATGGGATGCTGGCTTGTCAACCTGAGATGTATTTGTTTAGCTGGGAAATGTTATACACTCAATAAGAATAGGAAGAAATCAACCTTCTGGCTTCCCCCTCCCCCTGAGGAAAAATATACACTTCATTCTTGACGGAGGAAGCGCTTTCTGTCATTTTTGAATGCGGGGTTATTGGGTGTGATATTACCGTTAGGGCGGTAGGATGAAAAATAATAAATTCATTGAAGACTCGATTACTGTAGCATCCTCTCTTTTATATACCGTAAACTCCGTAAACTCTATTGCCTTGGAAAAACGGCTTGATGTTCAGCTCATGTTCAGCTCATGTTCAGCTTCCGTTTCAGGATACCTGCGAATAACGCCGTCATCTCAGCCAAGGAGGGGCTTTGTCAAACCCTTCCGTTTTTGACTTTTTGAGGGCCTTCCATCATGCATAGGCTTGTAACAGACACTGACAAGCATAATGTCATAGGCTGATAAGCCTCCGAGCTTTTGCGGAGTGACTGAAATACAAGCATAATTCAGACATAAATATTTCATCCTAGTAAGGTGGTGTTGAACAGGGATCAAAATATCAGGTGTTCAAATTTTGCCAAGAAATTTTCAACCATGATTAACTAGGGATGAGAGTCGCGACAGAGGTTCAATCAGGCATTTCTGGCCTAAAATTTGAACCCTATCCGAGCTGTATTGAAGCCCGTTCAAGTGTACGCCCGTCGGTTGATCGACACTGCACGGAGTACCATACATCATTATGAGCACATGATGTGTGAGGCTGAGTGAGTTGGTATGCATCTGTTAAGTTTTTCTCACGTTAGCTCGCTTTGTTTCTCATATCAATTACGATTTTGACTTGGAGCGGACAAAAGAGGGGATATTCTTTAATATTGCTTATCTTCGCTTTGACTTACAGCTTGTCCCTCGACAGTCATGAGCAAGCTCGAAAATTCAAATATTAAGCCTTGGGGGAGCCATAGCTCGCTCTCTTTCCGAGTGTTTCAAGTTGTTGTTAGCCCATTAACGGTCCTTGGAATGGGAGTGTCCCAGGTGCTGGGCGCTAGTCTGTAATAGGAAGCCCATCAGCTGCAGTAGTCTACATCACACATGATTTAACCGCGCGTTAATAAAACCAATAACACGATATTATTGCCGCCCTGTTTGATGACATCCTCTCAGATAAGAGCAAATACTACAATCATCGTCCTCTGTCTCCCGGAACCCCTCTCGGTATTGCCATTTGTTTTAACCTACAGCCCAATTTCCAACTCTTACAGCGATAGCACAACCAACAGTACTGTTTCTTGACGACGAACCACATACCAGGCGGACTTTAAACAACTGCCGAACGCCCTGTCCCATCCCCACGACGAAATCTCCCCCCATACATGGCCGACGCAGAACCATCTCTTAATATCCCCTCTCTCATCACACTAGCTGTTTTCTCCTTCTTCGTAATCCGGTGGTTCTTGGGGAGGAATGGTGCTATATCGTCGAATGATGATGCACTGCGTCACGGTGGCGGAAGGCGGGTCGATCCCGCCCATGTGGAGCAACTCTCGCAGATGTTCCCTCAACTAGACCGGAGAGACCTCATGTGGGATTTACAACGGAATGGAGGTAGCATGGCTGCAACGACCGAGAGGGTTTTGTCTGGCCGAGGATTAGATACGGTGAGTAGGAAAACCTTGTTGTCTTCCTCGGCGTAATCACGACATCTTTTACTTCCGTGGGATTTTGATAGTCGTAGTTCCTTTAATAACCATATATTGGACCTGGATGGCGTCTATTGAGACTGAAAGTGGGAAGCTATGGCAAAGAATAATGTGGCTGATATGTTGATTTTCTCTTATCATCCCTAGCCTCCGCCGTCCTTCCAACCCCGATTACCGACTCCCTTGACCACTGAAACTCAAGCCAACTCAGCCGCTCAACCCGCATCTAAACAACAGGCACAAGACCTTATATCACGATATAATCTTGCCGATAGAATCCAGTCGGAATTACCGCAGACAGTGACAAGCACCAGTTCTGGGACGATAATACACCAAGAAAGCGCATGGTCACAAAACCGAGCTGAGAGGCAGCGCCATTTACAGAAGAGAAGAGATGAGATGATTCTTGCTGCGAGGAGAAGATTAATGGAGAAAGATAGAGCAGCAGAGAAATAATACTTAGGAATCTGTCAAACCCAACTCTACTGGAACCGGACCTAGTCGAATCGAACCCCCCATCCCAGGCTGTGGAAGCAATTCTTCTAGTCTGATATTTCTCGATAGATTGTCTGCCAAAAACAAAAAGTTATGGTGGGTTATGGGTGGTTGACATCGGGGAAGGGGGGAGGTGACATAATCATCTGCCACAACTACCCATGGATAATATTTTCTCGTTCCGTTTTCCTCTGGTGCAGCAAAACGTCCGCCGTATTACAGCGCGTGTCTTCTGTTTCCTTAATTACTTTGTATAGCCGCGATTATTTCGCCCTGCATAGAAGATTCAAAATTATCTATTCCCTTTTTGGCTCTTCGCATAGTTACGTCAACCACAAGATGAGAGCTGTTGGGTCCGAGGCGCATCGGTCTATAATTCCATGTCATCGTAATCATCATTCGTTTCATCATACTGTGTATTTGCAGCTTCCTCGGCATCCCGTTCTTTTGAAGCTTCTTCTTTCGACGCTCCGATTTGCCTAGGAATAATAGCACACATGCAGAATTTAGTATTAGAGCTCGCAGGGGCGTTTAGAAAACAAAAATATAGGTCTAACCCTTTTCCCCAAGTGCATGGAATAGACACATACCTAAACGTCTCCGCTACACCGGACATAAACCCTCTGCTCTCCCCAATTTCCATTGCTCCCACTCCAGTTAGCGGCAACCCATCCCCACCTCCGACAGCAGTGGCATCTAGCCCTTTGACTTGAATCCTCATTTTCGCTAGCCGTACTTCTCTCAAATCTTTTATTAGCCGGCGGATTTGGTCCGCGTCAACCAGGTCATCGCTCGCAACGTCTAACAGCATTGTCGAAAGCTCCAACCAGTGATATGGTAGAGAAGGGGCTGTCATGCTATCTTCCGCGGTATTCTGCAGTATAAACGGTGGCGTCGGGTAATAAAGTTGCCCGTCTAATGTATAGCCGGGTGCTGGTGGGCCATTATTTCGATTTCCCGCGCCATTATCTCTGCCATTGAGGTTGTCCGAAATCAGCGGTGGGGGTGGAGAGAACGCGTCTCCAAGGGAGTCGCGGTCAGTCTCTACTTCGAGAATGAGAGTGAGTGCTTCGGGGTTTAGCCATGGGGGAGGGAGAATATTTGCGCGGCGTTGTCGTTTAAGGAGGAGAGCTAACCAGAGTGGGAGATTTGTTCGTCGTGGTGGCAGAAGGGGGGGTACTGTGCCCTTTGATATGTTGATAAAGGTTAGCTTATGAACCCGTTAGAAGCCATTGAGAAATATTTTAATTATCAAAAGCCGATATTGGCTGACTGGGGAGAATTGGTCTTTTCAAATTCCATATTTTAGAGCCTTACAGGGCGGATTGTAGGTTTTACCTATGGGCTTTCTTTTGTAGATAGGGTCAACACTCACTCCAAGCAATTCAAGCCCTTCTAGCCGCTGCCGCGGAATGACGGTGACCATTTCCATCTCACACAGGAACGCAATTTCCGGAGGCGTAATGCCCCGGGGCAGAGGGAACGCCATAGAGGGGCCCTTTGAAAATATTCGACCCTGATTGTTTGCAGGCGCGTGCTTTGTTCCCCGCCATCCATCCTCGTGTCTAAATATACGGGAGGAGAGGCAGATTTAGTCATCATTCCTCGGTCAGGTGATTATATTGTCCTAATGCATGTTGCACCTTCTCCTGCTTCCAAACAGCCATGGAAAATAGAGAGGGAAACAAGATGGAGCCGTTCACTGTTACATTATGTTGATAAGTTGTTCCATTAAATCGATTTTTATCTTATCTATCTCATTCCGTGATCGCTGCAGCTAGTTAGCAATGTCATGTGCGATCTGATATCGGGAAGCCGCCTGAAGTGTTGGAACAGATGCGTTCAAGTATTTATACAGGCGAAAAATGGGGCCAAACCTGACATCAGTCGCTGGTATGGCTCAGTATAAACGGCGAGCCCGGCGAGCCCTGCCAGCATTACCCACAATGTTATTCGCAGCCATCCTGCTCATAATCTGGCAGCGCAAAATCGATTCGGAGCTACCTGACCCTTACTTGGACGAGGTGTTCCATGTCAGACAAGCGCAAGCATATTGGAAGCATCGTTGGCGGCAATGGGACCCTAAAATTACTACTCCACCTGGGGTATATCTATGTTCATACATAATCGGGGCCATCTTGTTTGTTGTACGATTGCGCCCAGCGCATCCTGGTGCTTCATTTTTCCGCCTAGGAAATAGCATCGTTTTGTTCAACATCCTTCAATTAAGGCTACGGACACTCATTAAACGTATACGGAATGAGACATTTTCAGATTCTCAGAATACAGGCGATTCAGCTGCGGTGAATTGCCGAGATCGCTGGGAGAGGAATCTCACAGTGTTAAATATCTGTCTTTTCCCTCCCCTCTTCTTCTTTTCCGGACTCTACTACACGGACCTCGCAGCACTTCTAATTGTGGTAGAAGCCTATATTTGTGATCTCGGTCGAACTCGCAGACACGATGCTCGACTCAGCCCCAGCGAGAAGTTTAATATCCTGTCGTGGAGAGACGCACGCTTCTTGATATTGGGCCTTCTCGCTCTCATGTTCCGACAAACCAACATATTTTGGGTAGCCGTTTTCTTGGGTGGACTGCAGGCCGTTTCGACGTTGCATAGTATGACGTCGGACTGCCAGTCAACTGATGTTGTAAGAATTGTTCGGGGTAGTTGGGAGCTGCACCAACTCTATGATCCGTCAGTCAACGAGGCCTCACTTGAAGGTAATCTCCAAGTCCAATGAAGATAAATCTGATTCTTAATACTAAGATTTCATTTCTGGTAGATTATCTGAAGACCTTAGTCTCGTTAGGGGTTTCAACGGTAGCACATATTATCCAAATGATCCCGGCGCTGCTTCCCTACCTTGTTTTCCTCGGCACATTTGGGCTATTTGTTCTATGGAACGGAAGCGTAGTTTTAGGTAGGCCTACAAGTTTAACATACGACCCATGAAACTTTCCATCTCACACTGATTTTTACTCCAATAGGCCACAAAGAATTCCACACAGCAGGCCTACATCTCCCACAAATGCTCTACATATGGCCCTATTTCATATTCTTCTCCTGGCCGATCGTCCTCACTACCTTCGTGACAACTATTCTACAACGCCGCACCATAGAACTCTTTCCCAACGTAAAAACCGCGGCAATATTTATCCCACTAATGGTGCTCACCGTCCACCTAAACACTCTTGTCCACCCATTCACCCTAGCCGATAACCGGCATTACGTCTTTTATATCTTCCGCATTCTACTTCGACATCTGCTGATAAAGTATCTGGCTACGCCAATATACTTCGTTTGCGGATGGGCTGTCCTCACAACTTTCTGCACTCCCTCCCTGCCACCATCAGCAACATATACGGCCAAAGCAGGAACAAACATGCTACACCACAGGACCGAAACTCCACCAGCGAAGACAACAAAATCAACCCTAAACAGGGAAGCAAAGGGACCGGCGAGAAACCCCCAAGTTCGTCTTAGTTTCGTCCTAATCTGGCTAATAGCCAGCTCTCTTTCCCTCATCACCGCACCACTCGTCGAACCACGTTATTTCCTCATACCGTGGGTGATGTGGCGTCTCCACGTCCGACTCCCATCAATACCAACAAATGAACCATTAAATGGGTCATATTATGCCGTGCGCTGTGCTAGGTTCCTATATTATCTTCCGTTGCTCGTCGAGACTGCGTGGTACATTGTGATCAATGCGGTCACTGGATATATGTTTCTGTATAGAGGATTTGAGTGGCCCCAGGAACCAGGGTTGGTGCAGAGGTTCCTGTGGTAGTGTTTCCATTGGGTAGATTTTTGGGGAATATTATTTCTTAATTGCGGACACCTATATAGATTTATCAAAGACAAGCTTGCGAGAATATAATTGTCAACCTGGTGAGGGAAGGGCTCAGTGCCAAAATCATACTAGAATCGAACATGTTCATTAAATTGCAATTGAGACTATTAGTTGGTTGGGTGATTAGCTTCTCTGTAGAGATTCAACCGAGTAGTTTATTCGAATCTTCCTCATCTTAAATTCTTCCATGGAGAATTGTTTTTTATGTTTATTCGGAAATTTTCCTTTATACGCTCAGTTAACACTATGCTTTCTTCATCTATCCCATGTTTATCCCGTTCATTAAGACCTTGCTCTCGCGTTCTATCTAGTGGTGGCCAGGCCTCCCTCCCAAACTATCTGATTCCACCCTGATATTCTTTTTTGGTGGCATATCATATGTGTATTGATGTAATTATAATATAGAATGGGGTGAGGTCCCGAAGCCTGTGAATTCGCTCGTTAATCCAGGAGAGATCAGGTGGCTTAGATTTTTTTTTTAAAAAAAATAGACTTTTGAAATGATGAAGATAAATGGAGGTTCGTATGAATAGGGATTTCGCGAAATATTACAGGTATGCTGTCTGCCGGGTCCATAGATTGTCCCATTGCTTTGCAGGATCAACGGGCTTCCTCCCCGCGTACAGTGCCTACCAGATTGCCGAACTATAATACCATTAGCATATCATTCGCTAGAAATAGAACATACAAACTTGCCAGTGGATGAACCCCTGCCGCAAATTGTAATTTTATATTTGATTCCTCTGAATGGTAAACCGGTTTTGCAATCAGAACAAATCGCATATGAACAAATAGGCAATAGAAGAATTCATATTTAACAAAATGTCTGCGTACGATTGCATTCAGCTTGCCTGGTTTGTATGTGACATTTTGCGGAGCGTTTGCGGAGCGTTTGCTGAGTGCTTGTTACTCTCTGTCTGCAAGCCGATCTGTCGAGGTACTGGCGCCCATGTCCTCTGAAATAGCTAGGCCTAGGGTGGAACGTTGGAACCGATCTCAGCCCTTAGCAGTAAGACGACACACATCACCACCTTTTCGGAGATCCGGTGCCCGCGGCGAGAAAACATCAGATAATGGACATGATTGGAGAAGCAGGGTATGATGAATATATTTCAATCACGTAGTGCTCTGTGTGGAGTTATACGCTTCCATCGTCTTACTTACCCATATGTCATCACGCCCTGGAAATTAATAGGGCAATCCTTAGGTCGTACCATGGCCCAAGTAGTACTGATCTGGGGAAACCGCAATTTCCTCACTGTGAAGCATCCGAGGTACTTTGCGTCTGAATCTCTTGGAAGGAGAAGCCGGGTCTCAGACATTTGTATGCTCTTGAGGATGGCCCCCCTTGCAGCATTGACATGTGCCCATATGATTAATAGAACGATAGGGAGCACGAGCGCCAAAAAAGCCATTGGGGCAAGGTTTGCATGTAGGCAACGGATCTTCAAAGTCCGAATTCATCCCCGATAGTAGGAAGAAGCGAAGAAACAGTCGCACAGAGCTGTCATGACTCTTGCCCCCGTCGTTTACAGACTGTAGTTGGAATCAAGCAAAGGCAAACACCGAGAAAAAAGAAAACCGAAGCATTTAGAGCGAAACCATCTGCTTCGGGACTCAGGGGCTAGTCAGGTGATAATGCAAACCCTAATATGCTCTTATTCGTGCTTCCTTCCAAACGTTCTGCTCAAGAATGCAAGAATTGAGCATAATATGAGCGAATCACAGAGAAAAGTGTGCAGTTACGCAAGCTTCTCCTATTACCTCAGCCCATTTCTAGGGTAACTAGGGACTCAAAACTACGGAGCCACACGCTTGAAAAGGGTGAGCTCGAGGGTTATAGCATCATCGATGTTGGACTTGAGGACATGAAATAAATTGCGAACTTAAAGACTATGGTAATTAAGGAATTCTCCTTTATCCAACTAGTAGTGGTAGCAGTCCAATTTTACAATAGACAACGAGTTTTCCACAATAAATATCTACTAAAATCCGGAGTTTCAACATTACTGCACAGCATGCTATGAAGCTTTGATACGAGTTAGCTTTTATGAGGACCTTATTCAACCAAAAGGCACGAAGGAAAAGTGATATCAGCTAGGTGGCCTATTAAGCATTCGGCTTCATTACACTGTAGCATATTATATGTGAGAATTATGTACCATAACAAAAGCGATAAATATCTGAATTTCATTCTACACTGTCCATGTCTAGCAAAAGACGTAAATTGGTATCAAAATCTTTCCGACACTGCCCAGAGAGTTGCCGCTTTCCGTGCAAATGCGTATGTCCGTATTTATTCATACGGTGCTTGGGGGGGCTATATGGAATTGCCGAGTATGATAATTTTTGTGGTGCTAACAGTGTGGTTTTGACAGTAAAGGGATTTACATCGTCTAACCCTATAGGCACATAAATTGTAAACAACATGACATAGCTGATATCTGAGATGCTGTAGTTTGTTAAGCTTTATCCATGACTATATAGAACTTGAAATAGCGAAGTCAGTCTTTACCCACTGTAAATATGACCAGAATCAAAATACAAACATCATCGACAATCCTCTACATGTATACATTATATAGTTATTAGCAGTAGATATGTGTAGGCAGCATGATCATTATAAGTAAGCTTTCAAACCCTCCAAGCCCATTCATTAGATTGCGAAAACCCCACCACTCCATCCAGGTAACTAGCGCTCCCTAGGCCCAGCCAAGGCAAAGAACTCAAGAGGGCGTACACAGAACGCTCCATTTGAAGCCAATTTGTAATCCTTGTTCGCAAGCGTCAAATCGACCTTGCGCAGAATGCTAATCAACGTAATCAGACACCACTGCCACGCAGGAACCTTCCCGAAGCATCGACGCTTCCCGTTGCCGAATCCCTTTTTCACTCCGGATGGAAGCTTGTCGTAGGCTTCTCCGAGCATTCGTTCTGGTTTGAAAGCCTCTGGTTCGTCAAACACAGCAGGATCACGATTCACGGCTGATAGAACGGCGATCATAGGTTGCTTTCGTGAGATTTGATACTTGCCTCCAGCAAGTTGGACCTCGCCTGGTTCATCGGACGGAATGGGTTCGATATTGAAAGCTGGGGCTACGGCAGATAAACGAAATGCCTCCCGAAGGATTGCTTCGCAGTATGCAAAGCTGGATAAATTGGACGAAGTAATTTCGCCGTTTGCACCGAGAATAGAATCGATCTCGTCCCGGGCTTTGACTATTTCCTCGGGGTTTTGGAGCAGGTAGTACACAGCGAAAGAGACCAGGCAGGGAGCTGTAGCGGAACCTATGAAAATTGTGATTATTTCATCGATCACTCTTTCTTCCCCTAACACCTCGCCCGTTTCTGGGTCTGGATTGTTTAGGAGCGCATTGAGCATGTCGCTTTTCGGAGCCGATTCAGACTTGCGGTTTGCAATGATTTCCGCTGCAAAGGAGCGCATGGTTTTGATATCCTTATCGAATTTGCGTTGATACAAAAGGCGCGTGAGAAGTTTGGGTCTGTTAGGCCGTTTCATAGCCTCGAGGGTAGAATTTTGCATTGCCGCAATCATGGATGGTTCTGGACCTCCGAAATAATTGGCAGACTGATTGAAATAGCAGGCTAGTACCGATTGAAGGTCTGAACGTTGCAAGTCACTTGTCACATCGATTCGTTGGCCTGGATCTGAGGTCCATCTCGAAACGAGAGTCGCGGCGCATTCAACCATTTGGGTAAACATAGCTTCCGCAGCGGACGGGCTTACTAGAGGAGCCATGATCCGGTGTGCTACGTCCCAGCTCTTTTCGTGATGGTAGGCGGTGAATAGGGAGTCATGCACTGCTCGACGGATCTCAACGACGGGGCCCGTGACGCATTTGCGGAATCGTGTTTCGTCACATATTTCTTCGAGAAGAGCGGCGCTACCAATGAAAACAATTTGGTGGCCGAGGGCATTTACCTTGTAAATTTCTCCTGCTGGAGAATTAGCACTCACGCACTGCTGTGAACTAGTCCCTTGACATACCGTATTTGTCCGCGAGAGATTTCAATGAACCCCATGTGTCTTTCGGGTTGATGTCGAATATATTACCAAGGAGAGGGACGCCTGGGGGCCCAGGGATTGGAGTCGTCATTGTTGCTTGTGGATCAAATATGTGATGATTAGAAGACCAGCGAAGCAAAGGTCACGGACGTATTCCGTATATATTATGCGAAGCGAACACCGCAAGAAAGAGAACAGACTTGAATTTAAAGAAAGTGAAGTAGAATTGCAAGTTCCCAAAGTGCGGCCTTCAAAACGGCTGGGAGAGACTGCTCTCCTCTTCATTGGTAACATATTCCCAAGCTCATGTTTGACAATGCAGCGTGCTACAGTCACGACAGCCCAATTGCAGCGCACCGCCCATTTTTGGACATGCCATGTAATCGAATCAGGATGGGGATGTAGTAATAAATTCAGCAGAGTGGCGCCAGCTAGGATGATCCCTCAACATTCTCCCTTGATCTATTGAATCATTTTTAGCTAGGATCGTGTCCGTCTGGCGCCCGGCCCTAGCCAGCCACACGTTGTATGGGCCGATTTTGGCCTAAAAACCGCCCAATTAAAGAAGGAAGATCAACTCTTTGGTTAGCAAAAGCAGCATCTTCTCTGAATCTCTGTTTCTTGTCATAGATGTTGTCACTATGATTTTTCTGTGATTGCGATTTTAGTATGACGACGCGCCATGCTAGATATACCTCATCTGTAGAGGGTATATAACCAGGGTTCATTTATATGGTATAAGTACAGCGTATGTTGCTGGAGAGTCTGGAAAGAGTGCGGACAGCGAAGTTGTTGTGAAGCACCTTTTCCATCCTAGTACTGAAGCGGTGGAAGTAACCCAATCGATGACGGATTAACACCCGGGCCGCGGGATTGGTAGAGCTTCAGTTTTCAGTTCTCGTTCACCTTGCCAACTACATCAACAATAACCGCCAGCCCTGACAAATTCTAATTCAAGATGACCTCAATTCTCTGCCTCATCTAGGGGTGTCTAAGTTGGGTGTTAGAACCGTTTGCGGCCCCCCTCCTATTTTGCTCCTAACCATCCAATTGCCTGCAACATCAAATTTTCCAGCAAGTACTTAGTAGTTACAGAGCTTGGTACGAGCTAAGGAGCCATGTTCGACAACGTGTGCAGTCTCCCTCTCTCTAGCGACCTGTTTGCGCAGGCAATCCATCCGACTGAGCCCCTTGTCGCAGTTGGTCTCTCGTCAGGTCATGTTCAAACATTTCGCATTCCTCCTTCAAGTGACAGCGGCCCTGGCGCAACGAAAAATGGGCTTGGACACATCGACACAGCTTGGAGGACGAGACGACACAAAGCCAGTTGTCGATGCTTAGGTTTCGGGATTGATGGCCAGACACTTTATTCAGCAGGGGCTGATGGTTGGGTTAAAGCTGCGAAAGCAGAGACTGGTGTAGTAAATTTGAAGATTGCGGTTCCACGGCTAGGTGAAGGGTACGTGCGTGCATGCGCGCGCTTATTACGCCAGTTTTCTTTTAGAATTTCTTGCCGACTTATACTCTCTTTCCCAATGCGCCTTCACGGCTGTGCTCAAGATTGATTCTGTCATGCATTTCAGCCAATTATATTTTGCCCATATTTCCTTCAGAACTTGGAGCTAACCTAGTCACGCCTAGCAGGACTCACGACCGCATTGATCCACCCACTGTAATCCATGCGATTTCGCCAGAGACCCTTATTCTTTCTACGGACTCTGGTGCGCTCCATCTTTTTGACCCCCGTGTACCTCCCTCTCCTGTTTCACAAAGACCGCAACAAACTCACCACCCGCACGACGATTACGTTTCCTCACTTACTCCACTTCCCCCATCGGAAACAAGCACTTCCGGGTTTAGCAAGCAATGGGTCACCACAGGCGGCACTACAATAGCGGTAACAGACTTGCGCAGAGGAGTTTTGGTTCGTAGTGAGGACCAAGATGAGGAGCTGATCAGCTCCGTCTACGTTACTGGTTTGAAAGCAGGTGGCACGAGTAGAGGAGAAAAACTGGTTGTTGGGGGGGCAAGTGGGGTATTGACTCTTTGGGAGAAAGGGGCTTGGGATGACCAGGACGAGCGAATTATTGTGGATCGTCAGCCTGATGGAGGTGAGTCCTTGGAGATATTGTCATTACTTCCTGATAGTATTGGAGCTGGCAAGGTTGTTGCTGTCGGCCAATCGGATGGAGCTGTCCAATTTGTGCAGCTTGGAGTCAATAAGGTTATTTCGAAGGTTGTGCACGATGAGCTGGAGGGAATTGCAGGCCTTGGATTTGATGTTGGGGGACGAATGATAAGTGGTGGTGGATCGATTGTTAAAGTTTGGCACGAAGCTGTGGAACGTGAAGGGCATGGCGAAAACGAGGAGGATGAAAACGAGGAGGATGAACAACATTCTCGCAAACGGTTCGTGATGGGCAGCGATGATGATGATAACGATGATAGCAGCGTTGATGGCCAAAAACAGAATAAGAAGAAACGCAAGAAGAGAAAGAAGGGCAAAAGCAAAGATAAAAGCGGTGGGCAGCATGTCATGGCGTTCAAAGGACTCGATTGAGCTTGTGAATTTTTTCTGCTCCTGCATTTGATACCCGGGTCTTGCAGCTTTTTGTTTCCCTGCTTGAACTTGAACCAGTGGACGAATTTGGGGCAATACACGGACGAAATAAGTGGCTGGATACTCTCCTGAAATATGTGGAAATTTATGCTCTTTTTGCTGGCGAACGCTTTGGAGTTTTCTTGAGATTACATAGAATTCCGCTCCCAATATCAGTTGCTTTATCCAAGGCGAACACTTTAATGCTAAGAGAGGTAGATCTGGCTGTCTTCTATCTGACGAATTACTTCTGTGTCGAAAACTGTTTCCAGGAGATCTTGATGCCCTACGGATCAGATAAGATAAGCCAGTGAAAAAAATATCATTAGTCAGTAAGAAAATGACGCTAATCCCCACCAATTAAAAGTAAGAAACAAGCAGTTATTGAGAATGTGAGAATTTGATGAACTCGACATATAAATGCCACAATCCATCCTCCCACCCTACAGTGCCTATCATCTTAGGCATTAAGTCACGGCAGCCATGGCGACCGGTCTAGAAGCAGCCCCGATCCTTTCCACCCCAGAAACTCACATTTTTGATTCCCCGGCGAACCCCGCGCCCCCCCACCTTTCCGGGAAAATTACTAGTACCGACCATGACCTTCACATTAAATACGATATCGACCGCACTCTGAAAGAAATAAGACAGGGGCAATGGAAGCGAATAGCTCTACAGTTTCCAGATGATATGCTCCCGGATGCGCCGAGGGTATTTCAACTTTTAACTCGCGGCCTCGCATCCTCGGAAAGCATTCATTCATCTGGAACAAGAGTTGCAAGAAACGGAGTAAAACGCGAGCTTGCTACGGAGTATACTACGAATGGACTACAAAAGGGCGATGTAGATTATGTGGCGAACTCAGTGTTCAAGTCGTTGAATATTGCCGACCCGCATCACTATCGTCTCTACATTCTTGCAGACACGTCCTACGGAACCTGCTGCGTGGATGAAGTTGCAGCCGAGCACGTAAATGCCGATGTGGTGGTACATTATGGGCGAGCATGCCTATCGCCAACAACAAGATTACCTGTCATCTACGTGTTCACTCACGGACAGCTTGATACTGCTTTGGTGATCGAAGGCTTCAAAGAGACGTATCCAAACCGAGAAGAGAAGGTTATCATTGCAGCAGATGTCACATTTGCAAACCATGTTGAGAATATCACATTGACGCTGGCGGATCGGGAAGGATATACAAACCTGTTTGCTACATCTGTCGTGCACAATCCCTCATCTCCAATCCCGAACCGGACTGTGCCGGACTCAGTAAGCGATATGCCCGAGACACTACGGGAATGGCAACTATTTCACATCTCTAACCCACCCACTGCACTTCTTCTTACACTTTCATCTCGAGTTGGTGCTATCCACATCTATCCGACAGACGAGGAATCAGAGCAGCCTGTTTTAGGATCTAAAAAACCACTCCTCGTTTCCACAGCTATCTCGCTGCGGCGCAGATATGCCATTCTAACTTCCCTTAGCACAGTTCCCGTCTTCGGAATCCTGATAAATACGTTAAGCGTCAAAAACTACCTTCATGTAGTGGAGCATGTCAAGGCCCAGATCGCTGCCGCTGGCAAGAAGAGCTACACGTTTGTCGTTGGCAAACTGAATGCGGCCAAGGTAGCGAATTTCAGTGAAATAGGTGGCTGGGTTGTAATCGGATGCTGGGAGAGCTCACTCGTGGATAGCGGTGACTTCTGGAAACCTGTGATTACACCCTTTGAGTTGGAACTTGCATTAAAGGGCGATGTGGATCGCGTATGGACGGGCGAATGGCAGAGCGATTACCAGACGGTTCTGGACATTGCGAATGCTTGTCATAGTGGTCAGAATGGTGTTGTGGGCTCGTCTTCTCTTGGCCTTGTTTCACCTAATGACCGGCCTCCTGGAGACGCCAGTGGTGATGAATCATCTGAGGAAGAGTCAGCTCCCCCGGAATTTGGTTTGCGCACCGGGCGTTATATCTCGGTTTCGAGTACCCGCCCGCTGCAACCGTCTCTAGCTTCTTCTAATACATCAGGACTATCCGGACGAGCTGGAGGATCAAGGGCTCTTGCAAAGCGACAAAACGCTGACCTGGCAACTATAAACGGAGTCCTCTCTCCAGGCGCTGAGTTTCTTCGTTCACATAGGACATGGCAAGGGCTGGGAAGTGATTTTAATATCAGATATGAAGAAGATGGAGAGCAGGGCACAGCAGTTGTGGAAGGGCGTAGCGGAATTGCCCGTGGCTACACTGTGGGCGAAAATAAGGACAGGCATTAGAAAGCTGTATTCTACTGGAAGGGAATATTTTTGAAAGAACATCGTTATAAAAATAAATATATAATGAATAGTCAAATAAAATCAAAAATATATCCATTACATCTACGTCTATCACGTGGATCTGACGTGGCAGGGCGTGACCCGCGCCAAGACAGCCTTTTGAAGATTCTCCAAGGATTGTAACACGGTCATCGGAGGACACCACACAGTTGATGATGCTCAACACCGACGGTGGGAAAAGAGCAGGGAAAGTTCTTTCAACCTGCACTGGGAACGTTATTATAACCATCGCATTTTACTGACGGGGCCTCCTGGTCGAAAACCGAGCCTTTCTCTCGAACCGTGGTTTTGTTTGCTTCGTGTTGCGCAAACAGGCATGGATATATTTTACCCTGTATACAGACTGGTTTGATGACCACAAACAGACAAAATTCTACACGTCACTTTCATCGCTCCTTTCAGGCCACCTCTTCAGAAGGTCCATGTCCTCATTTTGACTCTCATTCCTTTACGACTTATGATGGTTCTGTCCTCGTCCTGCTGGACACCACACCTTCAGCCTTCCCTTGCTGCCTGCCGTCATCATGGCTTCCATTAGTGACCCGCCTACAAACCAGATTTTACTAGACAATTTCCAAGAGCCGGACTCTGCACCATCTTCAATACTCGCCGACTGCGCTGCTGCCGAAAGGGCTCCAGAAATTGAATCGGCCGCGGAACGACCATTATCAACCTTTGAACGTGTTTTTTCCACTCACTCACCCATATTCGAATCTTTTCTTCTCCAAGCCCCGACAGATACCATTTTCCAGCTCTATCATACGTCGCGTTTTCTTAGAGGTCTTCTCAGGTCCTATCCAACAGCATGGCAATACCTGTCCTTCAGGCTGCTTTTTCAGTCTGGTTCCCAGGTGCGGCCAGCATCAGGGGGAACGGACGGGGCATCAGCACAGCGGCAACCCTACGCGCTTGATCAGCTGCTCCTCCAGGTAATCCTACCATTCAGCCCGACTTTGAAGAGCTTGGATCTGGATAACACAGCGGTCAATGGGCAAAATCTCACATCCACGGTGTTGAACATGCGGAGAGATACTCTTGAACACCTCTCTGTGAGGGGTTGTAAGAACGTGTCTTTGAAATACCATATCATTCCATACCTCACCATGTTCAAGCTTCAATACGATGCAGAAATCAACCAGAGAGGTCCAAATTCCCCCTCAGTGAAACGGCTAGCACTTAAAAGTCTGTATGCGTACCGATGTCGCCATCACAGGCGACGTCCTTATTTATCATCTTCTTTACTCCGTCGGGATTCAGACTCGGAGCCAACACATGATTTCGTTAAGCTATGCCATAAACTAGGGATTTGGACGGATACTGCATGGTGTACCACTCCTGCGGCACGCTGTTTTAGGAGAAGGGGCTATGTATCTTCAAGGTCGCCGCAGGGCACAAGGGAGGTATGGGTCGTGTTCGATAGATTGTGGAGGTCAAAGAATTGGATTGGAGCGATAAGTGAGAGAGATAAGCCTCCGAAGCGTGATGGACGGCTATGGGAGCATGACGAAACAGGTTGCTTCGGGCAAGCACTGGGTACAGCTGGGGGTCCTGAACATGGAGAAGGGAAAACCGTCCCTACCCATTTGCGAAAGAGCCATAGGCGATTTGTAGAGAATATTGGTTGTGATGAGTGCGACGAGAAGATTCTCGAAAGATGCGAACAGTGTAGCGTTTTAATGCACTGCGTTGGCTGTCGAAAGACCCTGTGTGCTAGCTGTGCATTCGATCGCCCCTATCTTCGAAAAAAGCCATGCGAGGGAGCTCCCATTGAGCACTCATGGTGGGCACCCGGAATGGCCGTATCCCCATGTTTTATGCAGGAAGACCAGGATCAAAACGCAGCGAACGTGAATAACCAGGCAGCTCCGGTTCTTACATACCCTAACTTGAAATTTCATTGGTGCTGCACTGAGCCTGCATTCAGTGGAGGCGGTGGAATCAGTCTTGGAGTGGCTAACAGAGAAGTCGACCGACTCCGAGCAACACCTCTCCCACGTGGCCAAGGTTGGGAAGACCCCGAACTCTCCACCAACGAGTGGCTGAAGACTTTCCCCAAGGATGCATATGGAAACCCTCCAGACCATGATCGTCCAGATGGCCATGCGGAAATGATGCGCTGGTTACTTGGGCCACCAGATTACCAAGCTTCTATCTGCCCTCGAAATCTCTGTCAGCAATGCTTTGACAGACCACAATGGAAAGTACACTGTAAGGCGTGTACCAAGCCTTTGTGTATGGAACACGACCTACGGGGTCTACGTCTTCGGATATGTGGCTACCGGGATCTTGTCATGGAGAAGACGAACCTTGCAAGCGCCCAATCACCTACTTCTAGTAATAAATCTGAGAGTCGAAATTCACACCCACCAGCGGATCCAGATCAAAGTCGCGCAACCAGGGGCCCAACTACTGCCGAATATCCTGCGTCGTCACCGCGTTTCAATCTAGCCATAATTAACATGCTGTCCACTCAATTATCCCAACCTTCCTCAACCACTGAACCTGGTCCTTCCAACGCTCTTTCTGATAACCAGCCTGCCATCCATCACAGTTCTACGATCCAGACACCCGTCTCCGTATCCCACAGTCGCTCCTCCTCACCCGCCTCGATTTATTTCGAAGCATCCCCCGAAGTCCGCAAAAAGTGGTTGGGTTGCCAATCGATCTTCTGCCCACAATACCGTGCACTCGGCGACCAGCGCCAACGCTGTCCCTGTATTCTGCGGGAATGTACCTCCTGCTCAATCCACGTGTGTCAAGATTGTATCCAGCAAAACCCGCCCTGCACATGTTCTTACTGCCACCTTAACTATCTATGTCCCAACTGCTATCACGCCAAGGAGCTCGACGGAACCTGTCGCCGCATCGAGGAGGAGCGACTACAACGTGAGGAAAAGCAGAAACGCGATCTGGAAATGATCGAGATAGCCATGGAGCGCAATCTGGCCAACGAGGTCGCGTCTTTTGCTGGACAATTCTTTATGGGATTGAGTCGTAACCTCAACTGGATTGGAAATGAGCATCAAGGATCTGGAGACGGCAACACCGGCGTAGGTGTTGGTATTGGGATCGGCAATCATGGCGACGATGTAACGGCGTATGGGCCAGCGGGTCAGGTCTCTGTCTCTGCACCGCCTGGTGGTAGCAATAACATCGGCGATTATTCTCAAGTCGAAAATCCGATCTCGACGCAGTCGTTGAGTCATCTGCATATCGCCCAAGCTGGTCCGATTCCAGTTGCCAATGATGATTACGACGGTAATGGTAGCGGATCAGAACAGACCGAGATTCTGGGGGAATGAAGGAAGTTGTGACATGAACATACCTTTCCCTGTGTCATTTGTCGCTTCAGAAACATATCTCTTTTCATCTTTTGATGATATTAGTTTATGATGTCAATTATTAACGATCAGCATAGCGTTGTTTGCAAATATTTTTTTTTCATCTATTCTTTGACTTCCCTTACACGATGAATGTGCTCTTATCTAGGCCATGTTTGTTACTTTTTATTTGATTTTATTCATCTTTCTTCTTTTCGACTCTCGCTCTGGGGCTGGTTGCGTGATGGGGCTAAAACGGTTCTGTTTTGACACGTTTATATAAGTGGCAACAGCCCCATCAGATCCATGTATTTCGTTGAAATTCCTTACCGTCTTACGAAAGCTTTCTCTGTCCTTAACATTTTTCATTTTTTCGCTTCCTCCTCATTCCATCCCTTTGTTCTTCACTTTTCCCTGAAAACTCGTTTTCCCAATCTTATTTCCCTTCCCCACTCCATAGATCCAATGATGATCAAAGCGCGAACAACACAAAAAAGAATGAATGAACGAATGAAAAGAAACCCAAATACATCGTCTGTTTTCTTTTCTTTTCTTTTCTTTTCTTTTCTTTTCTTTTCTTTTCTTTTTATAATAATGTAGCATTGTGTTTTTAATTTGCGATTTTCACGTAATATCTTCGGAACTCTCAACACGTATAGACAAACATCTCTGCTAATCTGTCTTCTTGCGGCGCACGGCCTGGAGAATCAACACCATCGCACAATGAATCATGATTATTCGAATCTACGACTGCGAGGAAGAAAAGGGGGAATGGGGGGGGGGAAGCACATTATTGTTGGGTTGTTTTCTCTTTCAGCTTTTCGGAGTTCAATTTGTTGTTTCAATATATTCATTGCCCACTGATATTCAAGTGTTATTATTCTTGCTTTTTTTTTTTTTTTAAAAAAAAAAAAAAAAAAAAAAAAAAAAAACACTAGATTAACGCCAGTAACGTTTGCTCGCATTAGGTCTTCGAATGATGAATTAAGCCAGCCCTTGAGCCCCCCCTCCAAACTCCCCATACTATCCGGCCTCGACACCGCCCGCGAAGTTGCTCCAAATATTGAAAATATATACTAAAAAGGCCAAGGGAAACGCGATTTCGCCAAGCAGTACGCGACAATGGAAAAACTGAATCACTCTAACATAATATTGCTGTGGAGGGACATGAGCTAAAGGAGGCAAAATAGTTTGAAAGCGGAGAAGGGGACGCAGGTAGTATTGCAGTGTGTGGATATATGCGCGTGTGAATTAGATCGATGTGGATGAATATATATTTTCTATCCATTCTCGGGGCGAGGAGAGTGGAAGTCTTCTCTATATGCGAAGAAAACGGCGCGTGTGTTGTGAAAAAAAAAATCCGGTATTGAACAACGTTCTATATGGCTGAACTGGAGAGACGATGGCACTAAATCGTGATACGTTTGAAGTCTCGGGCGGAGGTTGATGGGTGACGGGTCCATAGCTAGCTTAAATACTAAAGAAAGATCGGGATCGCACGTTTCTCCATAGCCCACCAAATTGGATACCTAGGTGGTACTCTCGGATGCGAGTCGGGTTTGTAGATGTGCCATTCTCTATATCGGTGCCATGGAAAAGGAGTAAACTGTTTCAAGTTGTATCGATGGCGGGGGTATATTGGATTTCTGGTTCAAACATGGGCTATCTCAAGAATGCAGACGGGAAATTACTTTAACGTTCCACTTGGAGAGTTTTAACATATCTGATTGATATGCACATATGGCGGGCATTTACTGTCTCGGGTGAGTAGGGGCCAGGGGAGGTAATGGGCTGTTTTCCTGGGGTCCTTCTAAGGAGCGTCTATGTGGCCCGCCATTTATTTCTAGTGTTTCATGCGCGGGATGAGTGCTATATACTGCGGTAGGGGGTGCCAGAGGAAGTTGGGGAGCGGGCGATTCAAGCTCAATGCTTTCGAGGCTGGTGTAGGTTAAGCCAGTCTCATGGGTTGATACAGATATCGAAACCGAACGACGTGAAGGTGCGATTGATGAGTTGGATGAATATGGGGGTGGAGGGGTTTCAGTCGTTGCAGTTGAGGTGTTGCCGAAGCTGCTAGGCACAGACACTTCGGATGAAGCATCAGAGGAGCGATCATCTAGTTGAGGTGAAGCAAATTCCCGCTCAAACTCGTATCTAGTCTTCTCATCCCGTAGGGAATCAGGTTGCGCGTTTAAATTCGAATGGGAACGCTCAAAGGCGAGAGTCTTCTCATGAGCACTGATTGGACGTGGGGTATATCTTGGGAGAGGAGCCGTGGAGAGATATGGTTCATCTATACCCGGTGCATCCGTATCTCTGCCAACCCCACCACATCGACTCAAGCCTGCTTGAGGATCATGCGGCTGCTGATGGAGATTGGATGCGGATGGAAGCTGTTTTTGGCTGGGAAAACAGCAGCACAAACTTCCGAGCATGGTCAAATCGCAGTTTTATACTTAAATACCGACAAGGAAGTGGGTTTTTAGAAACTAGGAGCCAAAATGCCAAATTTATGAATCGCAATATAACACGACAGTTGAAAAACGAGGCGAAGGGGTTCCAACTCCTCGAAGTTGAACTCGCCAGATCTATTGTTGGACGGGCATTGTGATGGGGGTAAGGGTCAAGACGAACGGACAAACGCAGGACATCAAAACAAAAAGACAACAACAACCAGAGCAGAGAAGAGGTGTCAAGGGAAGTTCCACGACGCCTCGCTGACAAGAGAAACCGGTGGGATTGAGGGGAATTGATTGTTGATGCCTTCGGAGATGTTCAACTGCGTTGCTTTTCCCTGTTCTGGATGGTCTGGCTCGCTTCTGCTCAGCCTCAGCAGAGGCTTGGTTTACAATACAGTACACGGCTGGAATCCCATTAGCTTCCTGACACGGTTATTTTATTGGATGGAATGTAATTTACGGCTGTTTGCGTATTTACGTTTCAAGGCACACGAATGCGGGGGATGAAGCTCCATCCGATTGGCTGCAGTGCTTCTTTGAGCCTCGCGGATAAACAATAGTCCGCTATAATTTTTTGAAGTCTTCGAGTCCGTGAAATCAACCCGCTTGACTTTCCATCATCTCTTCAGCCTACTAGTACTCTTTGTCACGTTCCTTAATATCAGACAGAGATTCCTAGCCCATGGCTCCGTTAGAACTCCAGGGCAATGATGACTACGAAGCCATCGCGCGAGCGGTTCAACCAGTACCCCGCCATCGATCCCACGACCCCGCCAACAATCAGAAGCGAACAGATCCTTTCCAATTCGGCTCGCGCTATCTCGAAGAAGGCGACGATGTTTTTGAATTCAACGCGTGGGACCATGTTGAAACTGACGCTGACTACCGCGAGTATGCAGAACTTCAATACTTAAGGCAGAAAGAATCCCCTGTTTCTGAAGAAGCTCGCGACAAGTACAACGCGAACCCTTCCAAATTTTGGAATCTATTTTACAAACACAATACGAGCAATTTCTTCAAGAATCGCAAATGGCTCCACCAGGAATTCCCTATCCTAACGGAGGTGAGCAAAGCCGACGCGGGTCCTCAGGTTATTTTGGAAGTTGGCGCTGGTGCGGGCAATTCTGCGTTTCCCATTCTTGCAAATAATAAGAACGAGCAACTGAGGCTGCATGCATGCGATTACTCAAAAAAAGCAGTGGAGGTTATCCGCAAGGCTGAGCATTACGATGAGAGGTATATGCAAGCGGATGTATGGGACGTTTCGGCTGAGGGCGAGGATTCTTTACCCCCTGGCCTAGGGCCGGACTCTGTTGATGTGGTCGTGATGATTTTTATATTCTCCGCCCTTTCTCCTAGTGAGTGGTGCCGTGCGTTGAGAAACATTCACCGGGTTCTGAAGCCAGGTGGACATGTGCTTTTCAGGGATTATGGAAAGGGGGATCTCGCACAGGTGCGCTTTAAGGGTGGGCGGTGGATGGGCGAAAACTTTTATGTGAGGGGAGATGGAACGCGAGTATACTTTTTTGAGAAGGATGAACTAGCCCATATCTGGGGTCGATGGAGCCCTGAAACTGGAATTCCCGAAAGTAGTGAAAGCCGGGCCGCAGACTCGGCGAACTCAGCTCCGGATGTACCAGATGACTCCGGGTTTGAAATATTAGCTCTTGGAGTTGATCAGCGGCTGATTGTTAATCGACAACGGAAATTGAAAATGTACAGATGCTGGATGCAGGGCCGTTTTCAGAAAAAGAAGGCCAAATTGCAGTCTAGCACTTCTAGCCCGGATACCGAGAAAGTTGAGCTTAGCTGAGCGGCGGCCACCAATGTTTCTAGCCTTCTGTCATCATTGACAGACTCTTCATTTAGAATCATGGCCATATGGGAAGTGGAGTATCCACGCCGAGTTCGATTATGCAAACTCGATTTATACCCTTATCCATGTTAACGATTCGGGCCATGATCACCCAGACCTCCGCGGCCCCATGGCCGCAGATTACAGCAATAGCAGTGGAGTTAATGTAGAGGAACTGTGTGAATCGAGGTTGCCCCTTTATCACAGCACTTTCCACTCTCATTCAACCAATAACTGATCGGGGCTAGGCCAAACCAGCCAACGCGAGCATCTATCCCCTAACGTCACACTCCATCCGGATCCTATTTCGGTCAGTTTGCAAGCATATATTGAATTCGCTACGAAACGTGACTTGCCATGAAGTTTTTATTTGGGAAGCGGGTGTCCTACGATAATAGATACCGAATATATATAGAGTATAGATATACTTCAAACATAAATCTAATTAGTGAACAGAATTACCTTTTCTCTCGCAGTCAAATGCGAGAACCTTTTTGGGTTAAGTGTCGTCACTGACTTTAGCAATGGTTTGATCTCTCCCCAGACAGATACATCACCAATCTCAATCGCTCCAAATTCCTCAATCCCTGTTCATGGAGACAAATCTGGCTCACATAATGCAGTCAAATTTTTTGTTGCACTACTTGCAACCTGGAAAAAAATGGAAAAGAAAAGAAAAGAGAGAGGGAGAGAAAGAGAGAGAGAGCAGGGATACTCCTCCAGTGACTAGTACCTATCTCCAGCCCCGGTCAATCATAGTTCTGTTAGATGATAAATTTACGGGGCTCACCACCTTCGCGGGATGCCGATAAATGCACGATGCCCATGCTAATCTGCGGTAATTCCAACGACGTTGATCTCCCACACCCCCCGGAGATTTAACAGGCGATTTAGTCCAAACAGAGAACATGAACGCATGTTAGAGAACTTAGTTTTCTTTTTTCTGAAGATGACTACATCTAGACAACTCGGAGTACACCAGTCCGAAGGACGCCGGAGGTCAGTAAGCCGACCAGAGACGGATATTGGCAATAGTGTACTGTTGTGCGACGGTAGGCCGGCTGTAATACGGAGTGGAAATCCTGGAGAGATTTTGTTGCTATTCGGGGGGTTGCGAGGCTATATAAAAATGGCTTCTTAACTGTTACACACCTCACTTCTGGGTTTTACATTTAGCCATCACATTCTTCAATTTATCGCCATCTGCTTTTTGTTTTCGCCGACTCGAAGAAGCCATTCGGATCTGGAGAAACCTTCAATTCCTCATCAATACCCTCATGATGGCGCAACAAGCCATCCACAGTAAGGATGCCTCCCCTCCGGAGGAAGCTCCTGTGTCGGAATCTGGGGGGTTCCATGTGGTTTTCAAGAATCCGTATTTGTTTGGGGTCGCCTTGGTTCGTGAGAGAAAATATCTAGTTGCTGTTGATGTCCTATAGCTAATTTTGCTCCAGTTCACCTCTCTCGGTGGCCTGCTCTTTGGTTATGATCAAGGCGTTGTCTCAGGAGTACTCACAATGGAGTCTTTTGGAGCATTATTCCCCAGGATATATTCAGATAGTAGTTTTAAAGGATGGTTTGTGTCAACGCTGTTGTTGGGTAAGTAATCTGCAGTATCCGTTGATAGATTTGTTTGCCAAACCAGGCTCGACATGGGCAAACATGACTAGTTATTCTAATCACAATGTGCAGCTGCATGGCTCGGTTCATTGGTGAATGGTCCTTTCGCAGACTATATTGGCAGGAAATTGTCCATTATCGTGGCTGTTGTTGTTTTCTTAGTGGGTTCCGCCATTCAAGCCGGAGCTGTCAATCTAGAGATGCTTTTTGTAGGTAAGTGCAATTACATATGCGCCTTTGTTTTCGAAGGTGAATGAAGTGCTGATGCTATTTTCCCATTGCCAGGCCGAGCAGTTGCTGGGTTCGCAGTTGGGCAATTGACCATGGTTGTTCCGCTATATATCAGTGAGGTTTCGTTGCCAGCAATCAGGGGTGGGCTTGTAGTTCTCCAACAGTGTAAGCCAGCTCTCTTTTCGCATCAACTACCCTGATGGATTTCTAACATTACTTGTTATAGTATCTATTACCGTGGGTATTCTCCTCAGCTATTGGATTGATTACGGCACAAATTATATTGGCGGCTCGCGATGTGCTCCCAACATCCCACACTCAGGCGGGACCCCCAGCTCTCCTGCTTTTGATCCATATAATGATGTAGGTCCAAACGGCTGCGACGGCCAGTCTGATGCTTCTTGGAGGATTCCATTCGCCCTTCAAATCATTCCTGCCATTATCTTGGGAGCCGGTATGATATTATTCCCTGATTCTCCCCGATGGCTACTCATGAAAGACCGTGACGAGGATGCACTTGCAACCTTGGGGAAACTTCGACGGCAGCCGACAGATGACCCAACCTTGGTGGCTGAGTATTTGGAAATCAAGGCTTCTGTGATCGTTGAAAACACATTTGCTGCGCAGAAATATGCTGGTATGAGCGGCGCAAAGCTGCATGCGGCCCAGGTATCTAAATTTCCGTAACTACTGGACATGGTGTGGATAGTAGAGTTACTTAACATTCTCCTAGTATTACTCCCTTGTAAGCACCTGGCCGAGATTTGAGCGTCTGTCGATTGGATGCTGTGTTATGTTCTTCCAGCAATTTATGGGGTGCAACGGTCAGTTGGCAATGGAACCCCCTAGCCCCGTTTTACTGCATTTAGAGCAAGATGCTCATAAAAGAGAACCCCAATAGCAATGATCTACTATGCCCCTACGATCTTCAGTCAGCTAGGACTGGATGGAAACACGGTAAAAACCTTCAGATAAACAAGACTACCATCCCAAACAATACCGGTTTTGTTCTCTAACGGCTCCAAACAACCATTCAGACCTCACTCCTTGCGACGGGCGTCTACGGAATTGTCAACTGCCTCAGCACCCTCCCGGCTCTCTTTTGGATCGACAAGGTTGGCCGCAGGGTTCTTCTCATGTGCGGTGCCACAGGGACCTGCATTTCGCTTGTCATCGTAGGAGCCATTATTGGCAAATACGGATCGGCTCTTGTTGACCATGCGGATGCCGGCTGGGCGGGCATTGCATTTATATACATCTACGATATCAATTTTTCTTATTCATTTGGTACGTTATCTAAACTTTCTATCCTTCCTATCCCCTCACCCTTTGTTGCCAAAAATAGTATGAAGGTACATGTGTTCGACTCAACTATCCCACTTGGAGAATCTTTGGTTGTATGAGAGAAAATCTGAGATGCTAATCCGTGAAACCCAACGCACCAGCACCAATCGGTTGGGTCCTCCCTTCCGAAATCTTCAATCTCTCCATCCGTTCAAAGGCAATCTCGATAACCACCTCGACAACCTGGATGTGTAATTTGTAAGCCATATATGTGCAGGACATGAAAGAAAGGGCATCATTCGAAAACTGTCCACTAACAAACCCCTCCTACCTCAACCCATAGCATCATCGGTCTCGTTACCCCGGACATGCTCGAAAGCATAACTTGGGGTACATATATATTCTTTGCCGCTTTCTGTATGCTTGCATTGGCATTCACGTTCTTCTTCGTCCCTGAAACGCGAGGGAAGGTATGTCTTGTTTCCTTGCTTTCATTCCATGCGTGTTCCTCACACACTCTCTCCCTTTCCCACCCAGCATGTCTACTTGTCACCTGTCAAGCCCATCTGGAGTGCATCTCCAAAAGTGCCATCTGATATTTTGTGATATATTTGGAAACTAAATGATTAACCCCCACTGTTCGACAACAAACAGACGCTAGAGGACATGGACCTAGTGTTTGGCGACACGGCTGCGCATGAAGAGCAGCAACGTATCGTGCAGATTGAGGCAGCACTGCGCGGGACGCCGCTGCCGGGCGCAGCGGCATTGAAAGATAATCTCTTTAATGAGGAGATGAGGGTGGAGAATGTTTAAAAAAAAATCAAAGTAACCCGGAATTTTGAAGGTTTTAATTTCTGTACCATGCGGCGACTGTGGGTATATAAATGATATTGGAGAGAGATGTAGGTACATGTACATGTACATGTACAATTTCAGTCCAGAAATACTCCCTTGTCCCGATGATCTTTGTTCTGCTACTTTTGTAGACCTCGGAGTATGTAGAATAGAGCTAAAAACAGGCTAGGGGAGAAAGGAGAATGAGAAAATTGTTAAATATATCTCCTCCCTTCCACACCACCTTCCGCACCAAAGCCCATCCAATCGAAAAACTCCATCCCAGCAGCAGCAGCAGCAGCAGCGGGGCCAGGGCCACTACCACCTCGAGCTGCAGCGTTCTCCATGGATGCGATACTCTTATTCCCACTGCTAGTACCGCCTACCTGATCAATATCAGCCTGCGGACCACCAGCATCCGCACCAAACAGATCAGGCCTAGAACCAGAGGCACGGCTAGTATCAAAAGCAGCCACTCCTGGAACTACGCCAAAGTTTCCCAAGTTCTCATGATTGCCAGCCACGCCTGCGAAGAACGAATACGCATCGCTGAACATCATATCCTGATTCTGCGAGCCCATCTCCTGCGAAATTATACCAGCCATATTCGCCTCCCATGCATGACGGAGTCTCTCATCATCACGTTGGGCGGCACTGTTGCTGCCCGAGGGTCCTGCTCCGGTCTTCGCAGAATTTGCGCTGATTTGTTGCGGAAAAGATGCGATGTTGCTGTTATCAATATATTGGCTGTGATTGCCATTGCTATTATTGCTGAAGGTTGGACATGATCCTGATCCTGATCCTGTGGGAAGAGGTTGTGGTGAAGGCGAGGGAAAGGAGAGCGGTCCGCAAAGTCTATTTATGACTTCCAGACAGCGTGCGGCTAGGTGGTTATTATTGCCCAGGGAGCTTTGTGGTGACAGGAGACAACGGACACTTTGGATATCGGAGAGCCAGGAAGGAGCAGACGGGGATGTCGGCGTTGTTATAAGGAAGAGAACGGGGATTAAGGCAGCTTGAAAGAGGAAATAACTACGTGATGTTAGGGACATACAAATATGAGTGATTAGCGGGTATGCGTCTGTTAGCCTCGTTAGTACGTACAGCATATACCACCCATCTAACCTCATATATGGATTCATCTCCATATATCCCGATATCGACTGGATCGTTGCCCGTGCAGCCTGCAGACAACGCATCCTGCACTCCTCCTCTGCAGATTGTGGTTGGTTGGAGTCAGTTGCGACATCGGGAGGAAACGAAAATTGTGGCTGGCCGGTTTGTTTCCATCGTTGTGTGACCCAGAGAAGTAAAATGGGACGGTATAAGATTATCTGGAAGTTCCAGCGGCGCCAGGAGAGACGCTTCTTGGCAAATATGAACCAAGGGGGGAGCTGCAAACTTGAGCTCTCATGATTGCTACTGTAATCGTCACGGTGACTATCATCATGTTCGAAAAAGGATGGTAACGAGCATAGGAAGTCATCAATGGGAGTCTGCAGCTTTAAGGTTTCTTCTGCTGAGAGATTGCGGTTTGATAGAAGGCGGTGGTAAAGTTCATTGGTTGTTAGATGGAATTTTGCTTGGGCGATTAGGCTTGAGTAGAGAGTTGGCTCATCCGTTTCGAGTGGTACGGCTTCCGTCGATGTTGTCAAAGCCTGGATGCAATGTTAGTTATAGAGCTCCTTGTAAAAGCAGTTGGGAAAAGCATAGGCGTACGTTATCAGGGATATTCTGCACCTGCTTCGCATCCATAATGCTCGCATCAGGCAAGAGAATCGGTCGTCCAAATGTGATGGATGCACCACTGTCAAAAATGAACACACCCCACCAGACCCTTCGCCTCATTTCCCGTTGCAGCAAACTAATATTCCATTCTGGAAACTCCTTATGGAGACCCAAACTCAACGCCATCCGTATCGCAAGCCCCAAGTAATTCCAACCAGTATTAGGCTTGTTACGCTTTTGCGTATAATTGCTAAGGAGCAAGAACGCCTGTACACATGCTAAATTCCCTATCTCAAAGACTGACACATCCTGCAAGTATCTGTTGGCTTCGTTGTAAAAAATTTCGTGGATATCCACAGTATCATCTCCAATGGTCCAGGCACCAAGGGCAAGAACCGTGTTAAGAAGGATCGGCCATGCGTGGCCCCGTGGCCTAGAGATTTGTTCGCCGAACTGAGCTCGGAATGTCTCCTCGTGGAGGAATGGATAACTCGTGTGGTAGTTGGCAAAATATGCGTCCATCACCGTCTGAGCAACAATTTGTGAAGGTGCGATTCCGGGATGCGTCGATTGCCACATCATTGATTGGGAATCAAGCGCAACCTTACCCGCTGCTTCTGATTGAGTGGAAGAATTGACATCCCAACCACCCATAAGGAGCGCTCGAAGTGGCGCAACGCTTGAAGGACCACCTAAATCATCGTGTTAGTTTTTAGGCGGTTGCATTAATTATGCCACTGGGGAATATGTCGGACGGCTTGCAACGTACCAAGATACCCAGCGCCTTCAGGCCGGATCGAAAGAGCTGCCATGCCATCTGATAGCTCGGTGAGAGTAAGTTCCTTTTCAGCCCAGTCAAATCCATCTGCAAGTTGAGGAAGGGCCTCTGACGAAGGTTCTGTAGCTACCGCAAAATCTTTAGGGACAACCACGGAGACAGGCTTTTGATCGGGCTTCGGTTCCTGTCGCCGTTGGCCTTCTGACTGTTTAGAGGAAGATGATTCTAATAACGCTTCGATGTCTGCATTGGGTAACAATGTTGAAATTGCTGCCTCAAGCTTTCGTATGCGGTCTTCAGCATATGTAAGGTTCCTGGGAACAACTTTGTCAACCTCACCTCATAAATCCGCTAATGGTCCTGCATTCATGAGTGTCACAAAAGAAAAGAAACTTACTGGCGCGTCAAAGGCGTCCGAACAACTTTGGGACTATACACACACTCTTTCTTCAACTGTTTGCACAGCGAACATGTTGGGCGTTCTTTCGAGCACTATCCAGAACCCGCAAGACGAATATCCATCAATATCCATCAAAACATAATACAAAGCCTCGGCAAGCTGAATACCCTGTTCCCAGGATATCTAACTGTAAATTAACGGGCACACACCTTCGATTTCCGAAGCCTGCACTCATTACACTTTTTTCCCAAGGGAGAAGAAAGCGTAACAATCAGTATAATCTCCATGAAATGTTTTTCCATAAAATATGGCGATGGATATTGCAACATGAAAAAAAGAGGTGTGAAATCCCCGCCTATGTGTCAACAGTATGCACTGATATCCGGAACATCCAAAGGTCAGTCCAGGTACAGCATAACGTGCCTCCTCTCCACAAATATAAACTGCGTTTGCTTGTTCATACCCTATTGATGTAAATCTGCACATTCAAGGCATGACTGCCCATGTCTCGGTATCGAAATGGAGGGGCTTGGGAAGTTGGGCACAGAAGCCCCCCTGATCTGGTTGGTGCAGCAGAGAAAATAAACGTATAAATTCAACATACCGCAATGCTCTGCAAGGCTTGACTCCAGCCTTCCCCCTGGCTCTGGTTTTGCAGCCCCGACTGCCCAGTGGTACTCGTCGTTGGCAATCCTTCATCCATCTGCGAAATGCAAGAGTAAAGTCAGACACACACATCAATCCATCCATCCATTCATTGTTCAGCAAGTTTATTTGACCACCACCACCCCCTGGAGCAGGCCATATCCATGATGGAGAAAAGAAAAGATGCGCAGTCAAGAGTGCATGCACTATCTAACAACACTACCCGTCCAACCCACCACACTTAGCCCTTTTGCATTGCTCGTCTTGCTTTCTTCTGGTCTCACTTCAACTTTCTCTCTGACCTAACAATCCTAGCAAGTTGGAGGAAAATCTCTTCCACGCCATGAAGGATGTAGCACAGAGGACGTGTATTGAGTTTTGTATCTTTCTCGCTTCCCGCCCTGCGGGTCGGAAATACAATCTCTTCCCTTGCTGTTCGTTCCTCTTCCCCGCACGCACAGCCATTGGCTCATACACAGATCAGATGGATGAACAAGATCTATAGCCAGGGCCATTGTGCCATGCATATGCCTGCCCTTGCGTAATGTAGGTGTGCAATGTACATGTATTGCATTGCACTTGTACAGTACATGCACCCGCATATATGTGGGAGCGGCAACCATTTGACTCTACAAAGTGGTACGAAGGAGTTGCAAGAAAACGGCAGTTGCAAGAATAGCGCCGACACGCAATATACATGAAACGGTACGTAAAGAAAGAACTGGTTTGAATAAAGAAAGGCAAAGAAATGAATGAAACAGATGAAGGAGGGAAAAGAGAAGGACGGATATTATTGACAATATCAATGCAGAGCTTACATACCTCTCAACATGAAGAGAGAGAAAAACACTACTGAGAATATCAGTCATAAAATCTATCCCGAGCCCAACAACAACAACAGCACCACAGAAAAGGGAGCACACAGGACATTGTACACACTAGCATAATCCTTCTTTTTCTCTTCTTTTCTGGTGCCAAGTTAGATACCTGGGATGACGCAGATGCCGTGGGGATAGCTCATGGGGTTATTATTTATTTATGGGATGGCGGGAGAGCTATGGGAGAGCTGATTCGTACCTCTCTGTTCTTAAAAAGGTGGCGGGCACTGTCAGATCCCACGAGGGGGACGGCTTCGCGCGAGGAGATGATAAGGGTAATGGCGTTCTTCTCCCGCGCTGGATAACCGGATGCGCAGCATGGATGACGTTGGGTAGCACTGCACGGGAGAGGGCCGGAGACATACGTACTGTACAAGCGATGAGCATACAATAGCCGATTGTCAGCGGGCAACAGAAAACAAAGAAATAAAGAAGAAAAAGATTCAGCTTGGTGGGAGTTGAAAATACATCACGTGGACTCCGCTGTATTTTAGTCAATGGTTTTATTTAATATTATATTTTCTTTCAATGTACTGTCCTTTATATAACAGGCATGCAATCCAGAAGGCACATATTTATATGTATAGGTGTGTACCCGTGCCTAGGGCTCTTCCAGGGTTGTGATATTGCCTCTGTTATATCAACATCTTCTATTTCTATTCTTTCCTCTTTATCCGCAAAAAAGAAAAGACGACAAAAAAGTCCATGTCACAGACAACAATTAGTAATTATTTATTTATTAACGTTTCATTTCTTCCCTTCCGCCTCTGCCTCTCTGATGAGGGTGCTTCATGCAGCTGAAAACAAGAGTCGACGACCATTTATTGTGAATGGAACATTTTTTCATTCTTGTTTCTTCTCCCTTACTTTTTTTTCTTTCCCTTGTATTTTTTCCCCTGTGTTTTATTTTGATCCATCCTGCGCCTGCGCATAGAAGGAAAGGAAAAGGAAAGGAAAAGGGGAGGGAATAGAAATGAAATGAGACATCGAATTGACCACATCTCCATAAAGGTTCTCTTTTGGGATGGCTTGTGTTTTATTTTGAATCACACGCCCGGTTAACGCACGCCCGGTATCTCCCACTCAGTCAATTTGGGATGGATATTTTCGGGGGTGTTATTTGCCCACTGGGGTAATCCTGCAATGCACATAAGCGCATAGGCCAGTGTGTAATGTGTCTCTTTGGAGGCGAAGGCCCTGGAGATATCAGGGGTGGTTTCGCTGGGCCTCTGAAACTCTTCCCAGCTTTACCATTTCCGTTCGTCCATCTCCTATCAGCTGGTGAGAGAGGTTGGAGTCACACCAGATCCGGGAAGACTGACAGACAGATAGACCGATGAGGGGCGATGAGCCGACAAAACATTTATACATCTATCTAGCTACATCGTCAGAGACGGGCATTCACCCTCCGCACGGACGAATGCACCAGTGAAAAGATCCTGCATGGCCCCGTAGTGGAACAGGATTCCCCCAAGCACGGCAACGTGCCATATATTATGGCTGCCACCGAGGTAATCGAAGAAGCCAGGGAGCCAGCGTTCGGGGATCTGCATCGCATATATCATTGCACCCAACAAGTAGACGCCAAGACTTTTCAGTAGTGGTGCGTAGAAGTACAAGCACCATCCCAGGCTTCTTGTTAGGCTTAGTTGAGCGATGGGGGCGAAGCCTGTGGCTGCGAGGGTCACGTAGAACGCAACGCGCGCCCATGCCATGTCCGCACGGTTGAAGGTAGGGTGCCAGGGGAGAATGACGCCGGCGATACCCAATGTGGAGGTCGTGATGATGTAGATCCATCGGGAGGTTGGTTCACAGTAGAAAGCGGTGTATTCTGTAGTGACGATTGAGGCAGCGACGAGCAGGGATATCCCTGTATAATCGACGCAGGCGAAGCGTTCCATCAGCGGTTGTGAGGCGATGCTGTTCATTGTGTGCCAGAGCGTACTGCAGACAAGGCACTTGCAGGCGGCAATGAAGAATATGGCAGCAATTGCGATGTCAGTTTTGGTGCTGAGGGAGAAGTTCGGGTTGGAAGGGTAGAAGTAGAAGGCCACGGCGAGGACGATGAGCAGGCCAATCAGGTGCGACCAGATGTTGAAGAGTTCGTTGGAGAATGTAAATACGGACGTTACACATTCGATCTTGGAGGTCGTGAAACGATAACCCTGCAAGATGTGCGGGTTGACCCTCCAAGGGTGTGGAAGGTCGGAGTACTGGATTAGCCGCTTTTCATTGGCTAGTTGGATCGCGCGTTCGATGCTCTTTTGTAGAGCCTCTCGCGCGCGCTCGACGCTCTCATCCATAACCTCGCGGGCATGCGTGAGGCCCGGCTCCACAGCGCGCCATCCGTCGTCCAAAGTTCCATACAGACCCCGATCTCGCACAGCCTGCGCACCGGCCTCAAGCTCACCGAGAAAATTCTCCATCAAACGCATACTGGCCTGGGCTTTTTGTTCGAGCGTTTCCTTCGTTGCCAGAACCTCTTTATAGCGTTCCTCCAGCGTCTCTACCAGGATTTTTGCTCTTCGTTTGCCACCTCCCATCAGCTCGCCGGAAGCATGGGAGCAGGAATCCCGCACGGAAACTAGGGCGGCATATCCTCGTCTCAGTCTTGAGTCGATATGGGTCATATGTGATTGTCGATACTCCTCCAGCCATTGTAACCGCCGCTCCATTTCTGTGAGGAATAATTCGACCTAGAAAACAACGAAAGAATGACGAACATATTAACGTCGCCGGCTCAAATGAATTTTCCCCTTTTCTATAGGCGGGTGTGTACATGTAACTCACCCGCAAGAATATAGCGTCGGCATCATGATCGCAGGATAGTCTCCTATTGGTATGAAAGGAGTGTCGTCTCTGTCTGTTACGTATGAAACCGGACCGTTCGTCCGGGGTTGCCAGACCGGAAGCATTAGAGGCTGGGTCAAGGTATGCGTAGGACTCCAAAGTCACGGAAGGGGCTGTACAAGCCATTATTGTGCTAAATTGATGATGATGAATCCCAGGAGGCGTCGGGTTGGACGAGGCTGGAGGGGGGTTCACGTTGAAGGTTCCTCTTAGGTATCGGGATACGACTTGTATAGGTAAACGTCGGTGAGCAAGAAAACGAGGGCAAGAGGAGCGGCAATTACACTCTCATATCAATAAGGCTACAGATGAAATGAAAATTAAAGATAGACTTGGAGGAGAAATTGATGGGAAATTGATCTAGGGAGCGTGAGTGGATGAGACAGATGAGCAAGAATGATAAATAGCGGGCAATTAATTAGAGGAGCGGAGAGGGGATATATAGGGGCAGAACAACAGGAGAGAAGAAACAAAACAACGCAAGAGGAGATAGGTGGGGAATCGATGTGGAACTAGGAATAAAAAGAAACGGGCGGGTGAAGAAAAGGCATGCTCGCAAGCTGTCGGGGATGGAGCTAGAGGCCTCTTTGGGCAGCGAGCAGAACCACCACCATCGCACTAGCCAACGCCGGCGCATCACAGTGCTTGGCAGTATCCCGATCAGCCAAACGATTTCAGGTGAGAACTCAATCTTTGACTTCCTAGCATCTTGGTGAGTTTGTTATGAAAACTAAGGAAGATTGAGCGATAAAGGAAACTCTCACAAAGCCCTGTCCTGTCGGTTTGAGTTATACCTAACGTCTCAGGCTATGTTGAGGGTCTTCTGCCACGGGCGTCATGCTGCGTCTTCCAGAGCAATCGCTGTGCAACGAGCGGTTGGCTGCAGTGACATCATGCTGCCTCTGATGCTGTCGACGATAAATAACCGGCTATCTGTGGATTTCTCTGTCGATATCAATTATCCCCAGCACTTTGTATTCTGAGCGAGTTGAGGTGCCGACAGCTGCATTAGTTAGGCACATAACCTTGCATGTGTCAACTCTAACCGCCCAGTCACATTGATTTGGATACACAGCTGTTCATAGAGAAAGGCTGATTTTCTCTCACGCTCTCTCTCCCTCTCAGTGACGGATCAGTCATCCCCACGCGCAAAGAGAGAACATGTTGATTGGGTCAAGTATGGCCTGAGAAGGAAGGGGGACGAGGGAGAAAGATCTCTCATGGCTTAAATTTTCAACTTGGTAAATTGTCTTTCTCCAGTGAACTTGAATGAACATGTCCGCCATGATAGATATTATGGGTGGTTGCTCCAAGGGTGCTCTGCATGACGATAAAAGAATTGGTATTTCCAGTAAGTTCTGCTATTTGTCAGGGTAGAAATTTTATATCCCCCACTATGAACGCTGTAGAGCCAGATGCCTGGCTAAACAGGGCTTTCGGCTTTGATATGGTTGCTGCACCTCTCTCCCCTCCATTTTTCCAACACAATTGCATAACTATCTGATTACCTTGTCGCATAGGACTTTGAACAGGGTGTGAGAGCTTCAAGTGACATCATTGCATGCTGCAGTGTTACGTTTTTAGGGAAATGGTCCTGGGGGTGAGCAGATGAATACTTGTCAAGGCAGTCTTATAATCAATAAACGGATCAATTAATGCATATAAGTTGAAATTCGCTCTCACCCACTCTTCGATGTTTAACACCTCACATTGATTCATGGCACCCTGCTACTGGTCCAACGGGAGGTTGACCAGTCCTACGCCAAAAGTAGTATGGGCACAGGGGCATGGGTCCAGTAAACTATAAAACCCGTCCCTCGTCAACCCCTCAGCGGTTGCAACGTCACGGAGTTAGAACTATGTACAGTATTTCCGCAGTTCAAAGAGACCATGATGGAGAGTTTCACAAACCGTGTTGCGGTTGCAGCAAAGCCAAGAAACCCCGCTCCATGCCGCTGCTAGTAACTTCATGCTTCCATCGAGTCTAGCAATTGCTCAATGGTTTGTGAAGCTGGTTTACCAGGGTATGCAGTGATACTTCCTCGATAGAGAAGGTTTTTGAACAAAGCATTACAATCCTGAGAGTGGGCTGGGTTTGGCATTACTAGAGACTGGAACCTGAAACTAGCAATAGTGAAGTATTGCTGTGCCAAAATGAAGGAAACGCTGTTTGGTTTCTGCTGTGTGTGAACAACACGTATAAACAAAGAGATTTATGTACTCAATTTCATGGGCAATATAAGGCGTTTACATGCGTTGGTTGGTCGCTCTTATGCGAAGATTCTGATGAGCGACATTTAATGCTCAACCCTCTCCAAATAACGTCTTCTGTATGCCTCCAAGGATTGTTTAGTCTATGTAGGTATGCTGGATAGTGATCATTGGGTGGTAGATCACATTCAACACGGTTCTTGAGACGAATAATGGTGCCTGCTTTTGGGCTTGCATGGTTGTCCACCCCTTGAGAAATCCTGTGCATGATCACAAGGAGAGGATCTGTCGATAGAGGTTTAAGCATACTAGATCCTCATATAGCCGGAGTACTGTTTTGGTAACTTTTTGTGTATACTGCATTTTGAAACTGAATAGTGACAAACGGACATATCATATCATATCGTGTGTGTCGTACCTTGGAAGAAGTGAACAGGTGATGTCAAGAGGTGAACCCAAATCTGCCAACAAAATCCGCCAAAAACCATTGTTCAAGTTCCGCTCTCCAATCACGCTGCAACATCGAACAGCAACTTAAACTCCACGTATGAGCCATCCCGCGAAACTCCACTGGACTCCCCGGATAACAGTCTGACTACCTTTTCACAATGCCGGGTTAGCGAAA